GTTGGGCAGTTTCTTACACGGCTAAATATACTCTTACCACAACACACGATCTAGAGATTCCACTCCTTGGTATACAGCCAGAGGAACTGAAAACTTATGCCACACAAAAATCTGCACGTGGGATGTTTACGGTAGCTTTATTCACAACTGCCAAAACCTGGACGTAACCAAGATGTACTTCAGCAGGTGAAGGACAAATAAACTGTGATACATCCAAACAACAGAAGATTGTTTAGTACTAAAAAGAAATAAGCTATAAAGCTACAAAAAGACATGGTGGAAATTAACATGCATAGCACTAAGTAAAAGAGGCCAACTATAAAAGGCTACATACTGCATGATTCCAACTGTATGACATTCTAAAAACAGGCAAAACTATGGAGACAATGAAACTATCAGTGGTGCCAAGGGTTTAGGGGGAAGGAGGGATGAATAGATAGATGGAGCACAGAGGATTTTTAGAGCACTGAAAATACTCTAGATGACACTACCACGGCAGATAGATGTTATTATACATTTGTGCAATGACAATGGTGTGTCAAAGTAAGTCTATCAGCTGTAACAAATGTACCATTCTGGTGGGAGATGTTGATAATGGGGAAGGCTATGTATGTGCAGGGGCAGGAAGTCTACAGGATACCTCTGTACCTTCCTCTCAATTTTGCATAAACTGCTCCAAAAAAAGTCTTTTAAAAAATGTAAAGCATAAAAAAAAATTAAGCGTATGTTACACTTAAAAAAAATTTTAATGATATGATCATCTAAAGAATCTAGAAGAGATTCTATTTTTAAACTTAAAAACAGAAAGAAGAAAATCATAAAGAAATCAATAAAATAGAAAAGATACAAGCAATAAAGAAAAAAATCAAAGCCAAAAATTATTTCTCTGAAAACATTAATGAATTTGATAAACATTAGCAAAATTGGTCAGGAAAAAAATAACAAAAAACACAGATGACCAACATTAGTAATAGAAAAAAGGTACAGGTACATCATTACAGAGACTAGAGACATTAAAAGAATAGTAAGGAGATACTATGAAAAATTTCATGCCAATTAATCTGACAAACTACATAAACTGTACAAATTCCTTAAAGACAAAAATTACCAAATTTAATTCAAGAAGAAATAACCTAAATAGCATATGTTAGAGAAATTAAATTTGTAGTTAAAAACCTTCCCTCAAAGAAAACTATACAGGCCTGAATAACTTTGTGATTCTAATAAACATTTACGAAAGGAATGATGCCAATCTTAAAATCTTTAAGAAGACAGAAAGAGAAGGAACACTACATAACTCATTGCATAAGGCCAACATAACTCTAACATCCTAGGAATATATATGGCAGATTTAAAATTTGTAAATCAACATGAATTCATCAGATTTAATAAAATAAAAAAGAAAATCTCAACAGATGTACAAAAAGCATTTGCTAAAATTCAATACCTAATCACATTTTTTAAAACACTTTTATGCCACAAAACTACCCAAAAAAATGTTCAAAATCACTAATAATTAGAGAAATGCAGGGCCGGCCCGGTGGCGCACTGGATAAGTGCGCCGCTTGGGAAGCGCGGCGGCGCTCCCGCCCGAGGGTTCGGATCCCACATGCAGACCGGTTCCCGCTCACTGGCTGAGCGAGGCGCGGGAGCAACACCAAGGGTTGCGGTCCCGTTGCCGGTCCCCGGTCCGGTATGAGGGCAACACTGAGGGTTGCGATCCGTTGCCGGACACGGAAAAAGACAAAAGACAAAAAATAAAAATAAAAAAATAATTAGAGAAATGCAAATTAAAACCACAAGGATATATCATCTCACTCCAATCAGAATGGCTATCATCAACAAGACAGAAAAATAACAAATGCTGGTGAAGATGAAGAGAAAAAGGAACTCTCCTCCACTGTTTGTGAGAACGTAAGTTGGTACAGTGGGAAACATTATAGAGGTTCCTCAGAGAAATAGAAGTAGATCTACCTCACAACCCAGCTATCCCACTACTGGGTATATACCCAAAGGAAATGAAATCAATATATCAAAAAGACACCTGCACTCCCATGTTTATCACAACACTATTCACAATAGCCAAGAGATGGAATCAACCTAAATGCCCATCAACGGATGAATGGATTAAAAACTGTGGTATATATTCACAATGGAATACTATTGAACTATTTTTAAAAAATAAAATCTTGTTATTTGCAGCAACATGGATGGAATTGGAGACCCTTATGATGAGTGAAGTAAGCCAGCCAGAGAAAGACAAACAACACATGATCTCACTGTTACCTGGAATCTAAAAAAAAAAATGGTTCTCATAGAAGTAAAGAATAGAATAATGGTTACCAGAGAAAGGCTTATAGGCGAGGGATGATGGGGGGAAGGAAAGAGGTGGATTAACATATACAAGACTATGCTATCTGGGCTTCTGGTCAAGATGGCAGAATAGAAGGTCCCCAGTGTCACTCTCTCCCACAATCAACCAATTTACAACTATAAAAAAGCAACAACAGCCAAGCTGGGGCCACGAGCTCAGGGGAAGAGGAGGAGAGACCTACAGAGTGCATGAAGGTGGGAGAAGCCCCGATGAGAGAAAGAAAAAACTGCTCCGACTGTTTCATGCCACGGCTGCTTTAAGGCTAGAGCTGCTAAGTGCATGGAGCAGGAGCCGGCAAAAAGCCACAGCCGTGCCTTTCGGATGAAGTTGCTTGGAGGCGGCAGGGGAGAAGAGGGCCTTGGTGGCCCCCAGGCCAGCAGTACCACCACCAAGATTCCCATAGACCCACAAAGGACCGAGGAGCCACAACAACTGAAAAAAGGGAGCTACTCAGAGGCTGGTGAGTCATCACAAGGGACCAGCGCACGGCCCATCCCATGGAAAGTGTGTTTCGAGCACGGGCGGTGGGGGAGATGGGCCCACAGGGAGAATGCTGGGGCATAGCAAGGACAGCTGATCTGCCCCCAATCAGTGCAGGACCACTCAGAGGAGACTGGTCAGGAATACAGAATTGCAAAGGGTGCAATTTGATGAAAAGATTCAGGCACAGACCAGTGTTTCTATACAACCCAGGTACATCAGACTTCACCAGATCCAGAAGTACCTATAAAGCAAGCTATTAAAACCTGAGCTGCACAAAAAGCCTTCCCTAGGGAATCAGCAGTAGAGCAGCAATTTAGCCCAAACACAGCTCAAGTACTGGTCCCCACAGGAAGTTACCCCATCTTAGAAGCAAGCAAAGGACAACAAATTAGTTCCAGTGCAGAGTTTAAGTGGTGGGAACAGCAAATAATCCAACACAGATCTGAAAGAAAAAACAAAGTACCCACAACCAGAGACAGAGTTTGATAACTAGTAAAGGTCTCATTTCACCAAAGAACACCTATAACACCAAGAAGGACCAGAAGTCCCCTGGGCTACCAAGCCAGGAAGGGGAGAGGGTTGGAGGCCTCAGCCATGCCCCCCAACACCCGCAACCAGTCCCGAGGATGGGGGCCTCGGCCACAGCCCCCTGACAAGTGCAACCACTCCAGTGACAACCACCGAGCCACTAGAGGACGCGACCCAGGCTCTCCTGAGCTGGGGTGGCAGGGGGCCAAGGGTCTCAACCATGCCCCTCCCCATACTCAACCAGCCCTATGACAACCGGCAAGCCTCAGCAAGAAGGGCCCCTTGTTCCTGAGCTGGAGTGGTGGGGGACAAGGGCTATTGCCATACCCCCTTGACATCTGCATCCAGCCCAGCAATAACCAAGCCACCACTGGAAGCCCCCCAGTCTCCCCTGTGGGAATGTGGGGAGTGCCACAGGCCTCAATCCCACCCCGCCTCCTTCCTCCTTCTTCCATCCCATTTCCTTCCCATTTTCCCTCTCCCTCTCCCTCCCAACTGCTCCACAACATCGTAGAATGTAAAAATATTAATAAAATTAAATATATATATATACAATTTTAAAATTAAATAAATAAATAAAAGACTATGCTATCTACTCCAAGTGAATATGCAGTATATGCATCTATTGAAACAACACACTGTACCCCATAAATATGTACAAGCAAACATTAAATTTTTTTAAATGCTTGTATGTATATTATAATCTTTGAGCAATCACTGAAAAATATAACAAAAAGAGTCAAAAATAATAGATAAATTAAAATTAAGTATTAAAGTAATGTTCAAATAACTCAAAAGAAAGCAGAAAAGGAGAAAGAACAAAAAGCACAAAGAAAAACAATACAGGGGCCGGCCCGGTGGCGCACTGGATAGTGCGCCGCTTGGGAAGCATGGCGGCGCTCCCGCCCGAGGGTTCAGATCCCATATACAGACCGGTTCCCACTCACTGGCTGAGCGAGGTGTGGGAGCAACACCGAGGGTTGCAATCCCGTTGCCGGTCCCCGGTCCGGTACGGGGGCAACACTGAGGGTTGCGATCCGTTGCCGGACATGGAAAAAAGACAAAAAAAAAAAAAAAGAAAGAAAAACAATACAAATAATAAAATGGCAGACCTAAATCTAAACATATGATTACATTAAATGTTAACTCATCTCGAAAACCAATTAGAAGACAGAGATCATCACAATGTATTAAAAAAAACATGAACCAAGAGATCCAGATTTAAAAAAAGATTGGCCATGTGTTTAGTAATTGTAAAAACTGGATGATGAGCACATGAGCATTAATTATTCAATTCCCTCTCCTTTTGGAATGCTTGAAAATTTCCATAGCCAAAAGTTTTTAAGACAACATAAAAGGAAATGAAATGAGAAATTATTAATCTTTCAAACATACAATGAAATCTAAAGATTAGTTTGGAGTGAAAGAAAAAAATTCATCTGTAAATAAATATAAGGAGAGAATGAGAGTGGAAGAAAAGGGAAGGGCAAGGAAATGACAGACAAATAGACAGATAGATGGATGTACAGAGATATAGATGAATCAATGAATGCATGCAAGCAAGCAGATAAGTACACAGATTTCCCAGTTCTTTACCTTAAGCCATTAAACATACCTGCAGCTCCTGGACAGTGTGTTCTACTTTCAGTTCTAATGCCTTATAATTTTCAAGAATAACTTCCTTCTCTGTTTTAAGCTTTTCATTTTCTTCAATCAGTTTCTGGTCCTGCTTAATTTTTGCCAGGCTGACATCAGACCCTAAATGGAAGTCACTAACAGCCAAACTTTCCCTATTAAAAACAAATTCATTCATTTTAAAAAACAAACTGTATAAGGCTGACAGAGATCACAGATCTAAACTAAATTATCTTGGGCTTTTTATCCATAATATGCCTTAAAGTTAACTTTGGAAACTAATCTAAAATCTTTACCTAGTCCAACATTAAAAAATAATTTAATGCAGACTCGATTTTATAACCAAAGTCATACTTAAAAAACGCCTCCAACTCCCAAAGAAAATATATTTCAACTTCTTGAAAGCCCTATTAACTCCAGAAAACAAAGTAAAAGGGATTTCTATATCAGTTTTTTCCAATCTCTCCTCCCAGTGACCCTCTACCCTATCTGACAGTTTAGTTCCTAAAGCTCTGATAAGATTCCAAGAAACAGCTACATCACCCAAGGCATGGCATCATGACTTGGATCACAATATAGAAGAATGATTTGATACATATAAATATCAAATATGGCTTTCTGCTTTAATAGTTCAAAATTATCTAAAGAGTGAACTCCTTTTGGAATAATCAAATTCTATCACAAGTTTTCAGAGGAAGAACAGCCTCTCTCTTGTTAAAAAAGAAACTCACTAAAATATTCTTAAAGCCACAGAGAAAATTACAAATCTTATTTGAAATTCTGGTTTTGCCTGAATAATTTGGATTTAGAGGTAGATTTCTGACAAATGCATTCAAAAGAGGTATTAGCATGAAAAGTTGGTATGTGAACTTTAAACAATTCAGGAATGATTTTGCTTTCAAAATGGCTTCTAATGAAAATATTTATGCTAAAGCAAAGAGGAATACATATTTGAGAAAAATAGAAATAATTAGCATCATCCCTCAAAATCACTGACATATAGTTAAGGATTCCAGAAACATAAGCCTTAACTTCTACCAGGGGTCTTCAAAAAGTTCATGGAAAGATTCATATTACCTTTTAATTCCATTTTTCTACAAATTTTTTGAAGTGCCCATGTATTCTAGTATGACAAGAGCCTCTACCTTGAATTAGAAATTAGTTAAAACTAAAAACCCCATCACAGCCTTACTTTGGAAATGTCATATGACTTCCTGCATCATTTTCATTCTTCAAGTCAAGAGTAGACATCCCACTAAAGCGCCCTTTTGGCCTGCTGAAGGTTGCTTGGTTTGATCTATGCCCCCACAAGGGAATGGGGCTTTTGAGGTTCTTCAGAGCAAGCTGACCAGGATCCAACTTCTTTTCCTCAAAGATGTTAGTACTGGAAGTGGCTTTGCATTTTTCAGCAAATCCTTTCTTAGCCACCTCTTCCCCTATATCCACACTGCCATACTCAGCTTGAGCAATAACTGTTCCATCTTGATAGGTTGCTTTAATTCTCATTTTTATTTCCTTTTCAAAAATCAAGGTCCCCAAAAAGATTCTGCCCTAAGAAAGATAGGAAAGATGAAGACATAAACCAGCTACACTAACATGTTTCTCTTCACTTACGTTGTTTCTACCCATTTTTTCCAAACATCATATTTCTTCATTATATAACCTCTATATAAGTGGTCTTACCTTGTTGTTGGCTATATACAAATATGCTTCTGTGTGTATATGAATGTATTTCAATTACACACTTGCTAAAATCTTTCTTTCCAAAATTAGAGATAATATCTACCATATGCAGCCATATTTATAAATTTTAAACTGTATACTAATTCAATATCCTAGAATGAATTTTTTAATCCAACAGACTGTGCTGACTATTTTGGCCCCAACTAAATATAACAGTGTCCTGAGGAACTATAGCACATAAAAATGAATTTCTGGTATCTAAAAAAGGTACCAAATTTCAACAAAACTTAAAAATAGTTTTAAAGGCAGGGCCAGGAACTCTGGTTTTAAAGTAAGACAAAAGCAAGAGCAAAAAAAAAAAAAAAACCCCAGAAACTCAAAGCACAAAACATCAACAAATTTTTTTTTTAAATCAACTGAAATTATGAAATGTGATATGTTATTCCTATATTCCAAACTCTCTAAAATATAATTTTGTTTAAGGGAGTTACAACTGGCACATGAGAAGCCAATGAGAAATTAGGTGCCTGCTAACTTTTAATTATTGAATACCCATTCACAGCAGATTAAAACATATTTGGGATTGGAAGATATCTTCAGACTTAATTTAAATAAGAATTTGTCTACTCCTCCAGAAAACTGTACAAAGATGCTCCTTGACTTACAATAGGGGTTACATTCCAATAAACCCATCATAAGTCAAAAACACCATTTAATAACCCAATAAATCCACTGTAAAGTCAAAAATTCATTAAGTCAAATAATCTTACATCCAGATGCCCAACTTACAATGGGGTTACGTCCTGATAAACCCATCATATAGCTGAAAAATTGTAAGTTGGAGACTGTCCGTAATTTCTAAAAATTACTTTGATATGATCTAATTACTCTTATCTTCTCGAATTTCTCTAAGTTCCTTTCCTGATCTACACTCTATACTATAAATAACAATTAGTAAAATCTTGTTCAACCAGATTCTCTCTGAATCCTATATAGCCACAAAGACAGAATCCTGAACTTGAAATAAAATCTGAGTTCTCCTCATCTCTAACAAAAAGAATGACAAGGTAAATGATGTGTGGTTGTTTTAATACTTACGTTATTATAGACCTATATGCTATATATTCTTTTGAAAATGTCAAACATTTAATTTTTATCACGAGAAATTTGATGTTATTTTCCATTAAATCTTGTGAGCTGGAGATAGGTGTATACATGACTTTTAAAACATATTTAGGTATTTACAAAGGTATAAATTTTACCTTTTAAATAAATCTGGTCATTGGTTTAGAACACAAAGAATACAGAATCATTAAAAAAAATTAATGTCACTTTTCTAAGATATATTTCATTCTGTTTTCCAAACAAGAAAGTATCATTTGCTTTCCACTTTATTTTACCTCGTCTGTACACATTAGAAAATAGGCTAAAAGACCTTTAAATCATTAAACCCAAATACTAATCTCTAGTTCTCATTCCCTGATTCTACATATAATTTTTAAAGTAACAAAGGCATATAGGAATAATTTAATCTTTGATCTTCAGTAATTTATAACCACCATTCTATCAGTTTCAACTGTGCTGTATCATGTCTGTAAAAGTGTTGGTTAAAAAATGTGGCTCCCCATCCCGAAGATGCCCTGGGCGGGGGCCATGGGGAGGCCACTTCTGCTGCTGGAGGCTGTTGCTGCAAACTTGCTGCCAGGGCCCCGGGGACCCTCCAAGAGGCCGCTGCCACCGCCAGACCTGTAAAGCTGCTGGACCTGTAAGCTGTTGCTGCCATTGTTGAGGACTGAGCTCATGTCGTCTGCCAATGGCTCCCAGGATCTTTCCTAGTTACCTTAACATGGACCGGCACGTGAGGGGACGGGTAAACCCAGCCTGGCATGTGAGGGGTCTGGTGACCCAGTCTGTACAGTGGGTTTGAAGGGTCTGAGCCCTAGCCCTGACAATAATGAAACATTTTGGCTTTAGTTATGATTTGCCTTACTCGACAACTGATATATATAGTTGTGTAACTTTACAAAAGTTTGCTCTTTCCAAAAAGATTTGTGTTAAAAAAAAAAAAAAAAGTGTTGAGGTATTTCAGTGCCCAGGACACCTTCTGAAAGTGCCCAGGACACCTTTTTTCATTTGCTTTTGTTTTTACCCAATCCCTTCTATTCATCCAGTTATTAAAATGCTAGATAAATTTGATACTCTTCTAACACCTCACAGGCAGAGATTAGGTGTAGAAAAATGAATAAAATCTTCATCTCTACTGAACTATCATGTGGGAAAGGAAAAAAATACAATTCTACATGCCTTATATCCTGAGTGACTAAAACAGCTGCAGGGGAATGGATGGTGGGTATAGCAAAGACTTCATATAGCAGGTTATATTTCAGCCTTGAGCTGAGAATTAATGACTAAACATGGGCTCTCTAAGCAGAGATATTCAAGAATAACTATTTCCACAAAACTTTCAGTTTGCCAATTGGCTGAATTCTAATCAATGATCTTTTTACTAAACTAAGCAGCAAACAAAAACATTCTCAACTGAGGTTTACTCCTTCAGGTCCAAAACTAACTTTAAAAAATTCCTTTTTTTCCCTTGATTCATGTTTGTTTCAAAGAACATAAATCTGCATACTGTCTTACCATGAAAATAGGAATGGACTTTAGTTCTAGCCCTAGCTCTGCCAGAATTAGCTTTATGACTTTAAATAAGTCATTTAATTGTTTTAGACCACAATTTCCTTATTTGTAAAATAAGGGGGGAGCAGATAAATATCAAGGTATATAAATTTAAGATTATAGGGTTCTAGGCATGCAGGAAATTTAAAACAAGCCTCTACCTTAGTCAAAACACTTATATTAAAGAAGAATGTAATAAACTTTAGACTTTAAACCAAAAACATAGAGTGTAATTTTACAATAATATCTACACACCTACAAGATTCTCAAACAAACAAAAAAGAGGCAAATACAAGATTTCCAAATTTTTCCTACTATTCCTTATAACACTGATTAAATCATTTTTCCCATAAGTCACTTGAGCTACTAAATAAAACAATTACAAACCTGATTACTTTGCATTGTAGTATCTCTCACCAGCATTACCATTTACCAAAAGAATCATCATTACTGGACAGTATATTTAAAAGGAGGTAAGATTCCTGCAAGACTACCTCTGAAATTATCAGATGTCTTCCAGAATTAGGTTACTAACCCAAAATCCAATGGAAATGAAAATAAATTAGAATCCAGATTAGCAGAACATAACTGCCATTATATATCAAATAGTATGAGCCTCTGCCAAAATGAGAAAATCTGATTAATTAAAATCCCAATTTCAGGGGCCGGCCCGTGGCTCACTCGGTAGAGTGCAGTGCTGATAACACTAAGGCCACGGGTTCGGATCCCATATAGGGATGGCCGGTTAGCTCACTGGGTGAGCGTGGTGCTGACAACACCAAGTCAAGGGTTAAGATCCCCTTACCGGTCATCTTTTAAAAAAAAAAAAAAAAAATCCCAATTTCAAATTTGAAATATTCATGACCAGTTAGGTTAAAAATCACTTCTATTTAATAAATAGTTTCTCAAAAACAAATTATAACAGAATAACTGTATTCATTATTTTCTCGATCATATTATCCTTTTAAAGCCTCACATCAGATGAAACTATGTACATTTATTCAGTATACAAGCATATATCACTCAACTGTTCAAGAATGTTTACCTAGCGCAGATGAGCACAAATATATTTTGTAACTGCTTTTGAATTATTTTATAATTTCCATTTTTAACTAGTTTATATAGTCTTTTATATTAAACAAAGTTACTGAGATTTAACTACTGCACACACATTTTGCTTTAAGCACATAGTTTTACTTTCATTAAGAAAAATACTTAAAATCTGTGACTTGCCTGATCAAATTGGGTAACTTCCTGGCCAAAAGGAATTTGTAGTCCCCAAAGTCTATACTTCTTGGCAACACTAGAAAATTGCAGCTCCAAAGGAATTTCAACTATATCAGATCGATTTAGAATTTCGGTATTTCCATAGTCAATGTATCTCACCAGACACTGGAAAAAATAGACAAATACTAATTTCTCTAGACCTAAATTAAATATCTTCAAAGAAACCACCAATTTGCTGCTTTCTGCTAATTATCTGTAAATGAAGACAGCATTTTACCACAAATTGACAAAATGCATTCAGAAACAGAGCTCTAGTAATACCCTCAAAATAAAGAAAATCCACAGTCCATGAAATCACAGTGATTTCTACATGTGGTACTAGTTAAATTCCAATAGTACCATTTCTCATTTTGGCCTTTAAAAAAAAAAAACAATTGATATTTTAAATAAACATTAGTCTATGGAGCTTATGGCCCTCTCCTAGATCTCCTAATATTAAGATTAATTAACACTATTAAATTCAAGTTAGAAACAAAATCTGAAAAGAAAGGCAAAGTTATCAAACTTCCTTTGATAAAATTAAAACTACTCAAGCTAGACCTCAGAAACTAATCAAATTCACCCTTACCTCCAGCTCTATATCTGTTTAAAAAGTTTTTTTAAAAAAAGTTTATTACAAGTTCAAATGTCATCTTGTCCCTCAATTTAGCTAAAGCCAACCAAAAAGCAAATGCAAAATATCATCTCCAGTTATCAAATTATTGGGAAAAGGTCTATTAGAAAGGTCTATTTCACAGAGATAAACCATTATCTATGACAGTAATAAATATCGAGATTTTTAGAAAAACAAACAGCGTGTTCAGAGCACTAATCAAATTGTTTCATCTTATCAACTTCTTATGCAAAGAAAAATATTCACAAAACATAAATATTATAAAATATTTTACATCCAGAAAGCAGAAAAAAACACTAAAGGAAAGCCTAAGAGATGCTTTTACAATGCCTGCAATGTGCAATTGCCACTGAACAGCTATTCAGAATCCCATCTACCCAAATCCCCTTAAAAATCTTATGCAAGTTCACAGTACAAAAAATAAAATAGCTCAACACCAAGAAAATTCATCACATTAACCCAGGCATGATAAAGTGGCAAGCCAATGTTTATTATTAGCAATATTCACATCAACTAAGTAAAAGACACACCTAACTTCAGGATCAATCAAATGTTCTCTTCCTACTCATCAATCTTAATAGAATGAACTTTTAAAAGTTAACCATTAGCAAGAACCAAACGTAATTACTAAGAACTGAGATACAAAGAACCAACTCGTAACCAAAAATTATCCACAGATTATATAATCTATTCTTGAACAATTTGGGATGATCATGTAACAATTTACATTCATAAAAGCATTCTTGAATTTTATCTGTTTTTAAGAAATTAATTTTTTGTATTTTCACCAGGAGAAAAATGTATGTTTTAATCAATTTAAAAGTTGATTTAATGATTTAATAGGATTTTCACCTGATCCTATTAATCCTACGAATAAACAATTAAGGGTAAATAAGCATCAAATTTTGAAACCAGAATAAGTACTCCTTAAGGGAAAAAAACTTTAACGCTTATTTCTTGCCTTTTCATCGTTGATGATTTTCTGTACTTTGCATCTGTACCAACACTTATCTTCAGAAAATAATCCACCATAAATCTACAAAGAGAAAAAGAAGGCAAAATTATTTGGCATTTTAATGAAGTAAAGCTAAGTATATCAAAATAAAAGTTAGCATTTAATAAGCACTTATTACATGTCAATAAGCACTTTACATATAACTTACTTAATTCTCACAATAACCCATGAAGCAGGTATTTTATTTTCACCACTATGTGCCCAAAGTCATAAGCTAGTCAGCAGCAAAGCCACGATTCAAACTTCTAACCTCACAGTGCATTATGTCATTCTACCTCCCTCCAACAAAAGGGAGGCAGGGGGCTAAAAAAATAAAAAACAGAAAACTAGAAAAAAAAAAAAAAAGGCACAGCATCAAAAACGTAAAATCAAACTGTTTCAATGTCTTTTGATATAAATGGTACAATTTGTTTTTAAACATAAACATTCCAAGTACATGCTACTTAACTACATTCTGAACTATCTTGGAATCCATACTTCTTACAAACCAACAAAGATTTCATACTTATTTTATATATAGGGACGTTAGTGCTACTAACAAGATAAAATTAAATTAGATAATATCTTTAATAAGTTTTCATTTATTTTAAATTTATATTACAGTTTAATTATGTTTAATAAAAGGGCAAAGAGAAAAATTTATATACTTTCAAATATTTTCTCAGCATCGGCACTCCTGACATTTGGGGACTGGGTGATTCTTTGTCTGAGGGAGAGGGGTGGCCTCTGTCCTGTGCATTGCAGGATTTTTATCAGCATACCCCCTGGCCTCTACCCACTAGATAGGCCAGTAACACCACTTCCAGCTGTGACAACCAAAAATGTCTCCAAACACTGCCAAATGTCTCCTGAGGGTGAGAGTGGATGGATACAAAATCATTTCGGGTTGATGACCACTTTAAATTGTACATTCTCAATTGGAACAATATCGTCCCCAAGAGGATGAAAAGTGGTTCTTGAGAGGCAGGGACAGGGGAATCTTAGATATTATAATGGTTTATAGCATTCCAAAGTTCAACCCTACCAGACAACATAAATGTATGTACAGTATATCTCTGATTATTAAAATATCTTGGGAGGAGAAGGCCCATTCAGGAAAACACAAGTCTAAACATGCTTCTTAGGAGGGAATAGTGGGGGGAAAAAAAGGCTGAAGAACACTGCTCTAAGTTATGAAATACAAAATTTAATTTAAAATGTATCATTCTGAGCTCAGACAAATTCACAGATTTATTTTAAAGCAAAAGTAATACACAGAGTGAAACCTAAATTCTCCCAAACAACAAAGTACAAATCAATTCAGACACACAAATGGATATCTAACTAATCAAAGGCTACAAAAGATAAGTATGTTCAATTAGTACTTCACTCTGGTTCTCTAAGCTAATATTGAACAACTGGAGGGCAAGGGAGAGTATTAATGGCATGGTACCCTCTCCCGACCATCTTACTTCATTTTTTAGTAAGCAAAACAGATTTAGTAGTAAAATAGCTGATAATCAACAGTCCTATTCCAATTTCAAACTCTGCAAAAAATTACATTATCTTTGATTAAAGCTTTGTAATGGTATACCAACATGGTTAACTAACAATTTGGTATAAGGCAAGTGACAGAAATGGTACATGATTGCAGCCCAGTTACAGGGTTGGGGATATTTGTATCCAGAAAGAGAGCTAGGACCCAACCAAGCTGAGGAATCTAAAATTCTTAGCTCTGTTAGTATGAATAATCACAACCACCACTATAACACACAAGTTTATCCCAAATAGACTTATTTGTCTTTAGAAGATAGTCAGAACTATAAATTCACTCCTATTGTGCCTGGGCCCAACCTTCTCCCACAACTCCACCAATCATAGCATAAGACTTGCCTAAATGATGGGAAGTAGAAAACCACTCAGATCACTAAGGAAAATCTACAAAATATAACCCATTTATGGATAATCAGAGGAGGGTGAGTAATAATCTATAATCAATGCCTATTATTGAAACTAGTTTGAAGTTTTGGCAATGCAAGTAACTTATTTTGCATTCAAGAGAGGAAAGGGGAATATGTCTTAATTAATTTTTAACAATATTAAACATAGAGACTACAAGAATGCCAAAAACAACCTAAAAACTTTATAAATTGCCTTACCTTATCCATCTGATGCTTATCTCCAAGCTACATTCTTTCCTTCCTCCTAAATTTCTTTTTCTTATGTATTTTTATATATGCCATTGGGATTTTATTTATTTTAAACCAAAATTAATAGAGGTACATTATTAAAAAGAAAATCAAAGCATATCAAAAAAGGTAAAGAGTAAGATTTCCTTCCCACCACTCTCCAACATGTGCCTCCATAAAGTAATTTTACATTTACACTAATTTCACATACACACTGTGATATATGTTTATGCCTTGTATTTTATTTATACATATGGGCTCATTTTATACACAATATTCTGCACCTTATTCCACAACAGAATATAGAGATCTACCTTGGTCTTACGTCTGTTTAGGCTGCTATAACAAAATACTTTAGACTGGGCATCTTATAAATAACAAACATTTATTTCTCACAGTTCTGAAGGTTGGAAAGTCCAAGATCAAGGCGCTGGCAGATTCAGTGTCTGATGAGAGCCCATTCCTTATCCGTAGCACCTTCTAGCTGCTTCATGTGTCCTCAACAAACAAACAAACTCCCTGGGGCCTCTTCTATTTTGTAAAGGCACTAATTCCATTCATGAGGGCTCTGCCTTTATGACCTAATCACCTCCCAAAGGCTCCGCCTCTTAATACCATAAACTTGGAGGTTAAGATTTCAACAAATAAATTGTGGGAAGACAAAACCCATAGCAACCTCCCTCATTTAAATAACCAGAGCCTGGAGTAAGTTAAGGCAAGCTAAGCACCCCGGGCACAAAATTTATGCAGGTACTCATTCTCAGATACCAACCCTGCACTTACACAAGTGTAAACATGAGTGCCTCCTTAAATTTTTTGCTTGCCTCACCCTAGTACCAACCCCCCAAAATGATAACTTAGAATTCCAATATAATGATCTACAACAACTTGTTAATTACAATACAGGGTTACAGTTAAGGAGGTGGGCTCTATGGGTCTGAACACCTGACCCACCATTAACGAGCTAGCGACTTTCATAAAGTTATCTGGCTGTGCCTCAATTTCCAAAAAATAAAATAAAATAATAACACCTACCTCATAGGGCTGCTGTGAGGATTAAATGAATTAGTACATGCAAAGTGTTTAGAATACTGCCTCACAAAGGAAATAAATACTATTTTTATTACTACTACTATTGCAACACATTGGAGGACATTTAGTTTTGCCTATTACAAATAATGCTGCATTGATCATTATGGAAAATAGTATGGAGGTTCCTCAAACAACTACAGATTGATCTGCCATATCATACAGCAATCCCACTGCTGGGTGTATACCAAAGGAATGGAAATCATCACATCAAAGGGATACCTGCACTCACATGTTTATCGTAGTTCTATTTATAATAGCTAAGAGTTGGAACCAACCTCAATGTCCATCAAAGGATGACTGGATAAGGAAACTGTGGTATATATGCACAATGGAATACTACTCTGCCCTAAAAAGGAATGAAATTCTGCCATTTGCAGCAATATGGATGAACTTAGAGAAAATTATGTTAAGTGAAATAAGCCAGGCACAAAAAGAGAAATACCACATGTCCTCATTCATAAGTGGAAGCTGAAAAAAATAAACAAAAAGAAAGAAAGAAAGAGAAACAATAATCACAATAATTCACTGAACTTTCAAAAGGAGAGAATGGGATTGAGGCCACCAAAGGTGGGAAAGGGAGTGGCAGAGGGGGTAGTGAAAAACTGGTAAAGGGGCACAGAGAATGACTGCATTGTGTAATAATGACATAGTAGTTGTCCTGATTCGGATGGGGGGTGTCATATGTTGCACACAGGTGTTGAAGTTCAATGCTGTACCCCACAGGTATGTGCAATCAATTATGTTCCAATTAAAAATAAACTAATTTTTAAAATAAAGTTTCAAATGCCTATATTTATGTGAGTTGTGGTGACAATAATTAGGGATTTTTTTTCCCCACTATAGGTAGATTCAACTGAAGAGTTTCCTGACATGGCAAGGAGAGTTGTTTAAACTACTGTTATTTACAACTTACCACTGCAAATCTGAATTGTCTCAATATGGTACTGTAATAAAAACAGACATAACTTTGATACCAAGTCTAATGTAACACAGGAGCTATAATCTATAACCTCCTCATCTGACATTTTTGTGTTTGAAGCAGCCTGTTTTCATTGACTTCACAGTAAATAAATGTTATACATTTGAACATATATATTTAAAAAAATAATGCTGCACTGAATAGTTTTGTACAAATATCTTTATGTACTTATCGAAATGTCTAAAGGGTAAATTCTTGGCAGAGAAACTGATGCACCTAAGATTATAGGCATCTATTATTTTGAAAAAGATGGTTAAAATTCATATAGTCACTTGATTTAAAATACAGATGCCGGGCCGGCCCGGTGGCGCACTGGAGAGTGCGCCGCTTGGGAGCGCAGCGGCGCTCCCGCCGAGGGTTCGGATCCTATGTGGAGACCGGTTCCACTCACTGGCTGAGCGCAGTGCGGGCGCAACACCGAGGGTTGCGATCCCGTTGCCGGTCAGTAAAATAGACAAAAAAGGAAAAAAAAAAATGCAGATACCAGTACAATCCAATAAATAAAAGATGGTCTTTTCAATAAATTGTGCTGACATAATTGGATATCCATATAAAATAAAAACTAAATTTGACTTCCACTTCACAACACAACCAAAAATTTACTGGAGGTAACAAAAGCCCTACATGCAAAAGATAAAAGCTTCTAGAGAAAACACAGACACACACACACGTACACACAGACGCACACACAAGAGAATATACTCGTGACCTTGGGGTAAGAAAAGATGTCTTAAATAGGAAACAGAAAGCACATACTGAAAAAGAAAAAATTTAAAAATTAGACTTCAAGTGATATCAAGAAAGTGAGTAGATAAGCCATAGACTAGGAGAAGACATCAGCAATACATATATAAAACAAAGGACTCATACCAAGAATATATATAGTGTTCTATACATTGATCAAGACAAATAACCAAATGTAAAAAATGGAGAAAAGATTTGAAAAGGCATGTCACTAAACAGAATACCCAAATGGCTAATAAGAATACTAAAATATGCTTAACCTCAGTACCCATTGGGGAAATAAATTAAAACCATGAGATAACATTACACACCAACCAGAATTTAGAAAGACTGACAACACAACAGGTTGGTGAGGATATGGAGGAACTGGAACTCTCATATATTGCTGGTAAGTATATAAATTCGTTCAACGCTTTTGCAAAACTGTTTGGCAGTATCTACTAAAATGAACCATACCTAGACTATAACCTAACCATTCTACTTCAAAGTATATGTGCAAAAGAAATGAATTAATACATCAAGACAAGACTCGTACAGTATAAGGATTTCATAGCAGTCTCATTCATAGTAGACCAAAACTACAAACAATCCAAATACCCATCAAAGAAGAACAGATAAACTGTGTTATATTTATACAATGAAATACTGCATAGTTTGAAAAAGAACAAACTACCAATACACTAATATACACAACAATATGGATGAATCTCATAAATTATGCTGAACAAAAGAAGCCAGACACATACAATTAAGTACACACTGTATGATATAACAGGCAAATGAAGCCATGGTTATAGAAGTCAGCATGATGGTTATCTCTTTTAATAACTAACAATTAAGGGGACTAATAACTAAGAATTGGGTAAGAGGCCCAAGGAATTTTCTAGGATGATGGAACCATATCTTGATCACTGGGTGGTAGTTACACGGATCCATACACATATGTAAAAGTTCATCAAGTTGTATACTTAATATCTTAAGAGATATATACTTTACCGTATGCAAGTTATATCTCAACAAAAAAAGAAAAAAAAAGAGCCAAATTGTTCTCCATAAAGGTGTCTCTTACAAATTTTTTGTGAGTCATTGTCAAAGGCAAGGATTCTAACTATTTTGCTCACCAGTGCACAATCAATGCTTTCTACAGTGCCTGGTGCATAGCAGATAGTCCATAGGTTTTCTTTGTTTTTGTTTTTTGGCTAGAATACTGTAGCTCTTAATTCTATTATTTTCTAACTTTTTATTGTGATAAGATACACATAACATAAAACTTACTGTCTTAACCATTTTTAAGTGTACATTTCAGTGGCATTAAGCACATTCATATTGTTTTGCAACCATCACCACCATCTATCTCCACAACTCTTTCTTCGTGTAAAACTGAAACTCTATACCCACTAAACAACTCTCCACCTCCTCTCTTCTCTTCCCCCTAGTCCCTGGTAACCACCATTCTACTTTCTATCTCTATGATTTTGATTACTCTAAGTATATCATATAAGTGAAGTCATTCACTATTTGTCTTTTTTGACTGACTTATTTTACTTAGCATGATGTTCTCAAGACTCATCCATTTTGTAGCTTATGTCAGAATTTCTTTCCTTTTTAAGGCTAAATAATATTCAGTCTATAAGTATTTCTGAGTATATAATTTTACTATAACTACAGTATATACAAATTATAAAAATCTGCACCTTCTTTTCAAATATACCAAAAATTCCAAAAACCATAAAATCTAAGACACAAGGAAAGCTAACAAAAGGGATGAAGTAATTATATCCAAGAATATGACTTACCTTCTTTGGATCAAGATTTCCAGAAACTGAATTAGCATGGGGACAAACTTCAGACAGTGAGGAAGCAATCTTCATAATATCCTCATTTCTACTGATATTCTAGAAAGAACAGATATAGTATAAGATTCAGTAAAATATTATTTGATAGTGTTATATAATTGAGGCTTCTACTAATCATGATACTTAAAAGATTTTGGAGCACTAAAAATTAAATCGAATTCTTATAAGCTTATTTTGCTTATATGGCAAAAATCCAAAGTTGCAGAAAACAAAAGAGTATATATGAGCACATCTTCATCCTGACCTGCCTTCACATATCTCTATTTACTCTTCTCCATGCCTACATCTCACTCTAACCCCAACCAAATTTTACTACTTGCTTCTTGAAATAATCATTTGATTCATTTGAATGCCATTAGTAGTTTTAATTTCTAATCTCTTCATCCATTTAAGGCAAATTTCCTAACTTTTTGAAATGTGTTTAAATTTCCACAGGGTCCTCAATTTCATGGTTTATATCATAGGCTGGCAAATTACAGCCACGTGTTTTGGTAAATAAAGTTTATTGGATCACAGTTACACACAATACAATGACATGGCTGGCAGAGTTGAACCGTTGTAAGAGAGACTGTAGGGCCCACAAACTGTAAAGTATTTACTATCTGATCCTTTACAGAAAAATTTTGCTGACTCCTGGCTTAGATTATACATGCAAATTCAATCAACAGTTTCACATATAAGATCAATCAAAATCAAAATCAAGAGCTGGGGCCGGCCTGTGGCTCACTCGGGAGAGTGCGGTGCTGATAACACCAAGGCCCCGGGTTCGGATCCCATATACAGATGGCCGGTTGGCTCACTGGCTGAGCGTGGTGCTGACAACACCAAGTCAAGGGTTAAGATCCCCTTACCGGTCATCTTAAAAAAAAAAAAAAAAATCAAGAGCTGCCTATACCCACTTGAAATGTGGCTAGTCTGATTTGAGATGTGCTGTAAGTCTAAAATACACACTTGGGAGAGTGATATCACCACAAAGCAGAATAGATGATTCCAGTGTGGCTTCTCCCCACAAACAGAACATTTTACAACTATTAAAACACAAAAACTGCCATTCTGTAATCACTGGAACTTGGAGAAGAGGCGGAGAGACCTGCTCAGTCTGTGAAGGTATGGAAAGCCATGACGAGCAGGAGGGGCCACCCAGATCAGACCCAGTCCCAGCTATTCTCCAGGCTAGTGCTGCATAACACATGGAGCAGCTGCCTGGAGATGGCAGCACCCTTTGCATGAAGCTACTTGCCATGACCACTAGCAAAAAAGAACACACAAAAAAAACACTTTGGGATGCACCATCCCATTTTGTAGGTCAGCACAGTTGTTCATAAGCTTCCCCAGTGCCAAAACAGGAGGGAGGGTCCACAGCCAATGAAAGAAAGGATTCACCCAGAGATTGGTAAGTCTTCACAGGGGACTTGTGCGGGGACTGCTCCACTGGAAATGTTTGCAATGCTGGGGAAGGGGTGCTATCCATCAGGGGTGCATCAGGGAGCAGTGTAGGCAGCTGATCTGCCTTCCAGTCAGCATGGGTGCCACACAGTGGAGACTAGTCAATGCAACAGAACTGCAGGGAATGCAGTTTGTGGGAAGGACTCAGTCCCAGGCCAGAATTTCTACACAGCCCAGCTGCATCTGTTGTGACCTCACAATGACCGAGAAGTAACTAAAATGCCGGCAACTAAAATCCAGTCCAAACAGAGGCCACTCTCCCAAGCCCATTCTATGAAGACAGCATCACCCTGATACCAAAACCAGACAAAGATACAACAAAAAAAGAAAACTACAGGCTAATATCTCTGATGAACACAGATGCAAAGATCCAAAACAAAATATTAGCAATCAGAAAACAGCAATACATCAAAAAATTATATACCACAATCAAATGGGATTCATCCCAGGGATACAAGGATGGTTCAACATAAGTCAATAAATGTGATACACAACAACAAAATCAAGGACATAAACCATATGATTATCTCAATAGATGCAGAAAAAGCATTCAACAAAATTCAACATCCCTTCACGATAAAGGCTCTCAGCAAATTAGATATAGATGGAAAGTATCTCAACACAATAAAAGCCAATACAACAAACCAATCACCAATTTCATCCTAAATGGAGAAAAGCTGAAAGCTTTTCCCTTAAGAACAGGAACAAGATAAGGATGTCCATTCTCACCATTCCTATCTAACATAGTATTAGAAGTACTAGCAAGAGCATTAATACAAGAGAAAGAATAAAGGACATCCAGATTGGAAAGGATGAAGTCACACTGTCCTTGTTTGCAGATGACATGATCCTATATATAGAAAAACCTAAAGACTCTACCAAAAAATTACTAGAGCTGATAGACAATTTCAGTAATGTTGCAGGATAGAAAATCAGCATGCAAAAGTCAGTAACATTTTTATATTCCAATAATGAACTAGCAGAAAAAGAAATCAAGAAAGCAAGCCCATTTACAATAGTCACCAAAAAAAATAAAAGACGTAGGAATCAATTTAACCAAGGAGGTAAAAGATCTCTACAACAAGAACTGCCAAATACTATTAAAAGAAATTATAGAGCACACCAAAGGTGGAAAGACATACCATACCATACTCTTGGATTGGAAGAATTAACATGAAAATGTCCATACTACCCAAAGCAATCTACAGATTCAATGCAATCTCCATCAAAATACCAATGACATTCTTCACAAAAATAGAAAAAACAATCCTAACATTCATTTGGAACAAAAAAAGACCACAAATAGCCAAAGCAATCCTGAGTAAAAAGAAATTAAGCCAGAGGCATAACACTTACCTGACTTCAAATTATACATCAAAGCTATAGTAAACAAAACAGCATAGTACTGGTATAAAAACAGACACTCATACCACTGGAACAGAACAGAGAACCCAGAAACCAACCCACATACTTACAGCCAACTGATCTTTGACAAAGGCAAAAAGAACACACACTGGGGAGAAGACCGCCTCTTCAACAAATGGTGCCAGGAAAATTGGAAATCCATATGCAGAGAATGAAACAAGACATATACTTCTCACCATGTACCAAAATCAACTCAAAATGGATTAAAGATTTAAACATAAGACTTAAAACCATAAAACTACTAAAAGAAAACACAGGGGAAACACTCCAGGAAATAGGATTGGGAAAAGACTTTATGAATAAGACCCCAAAAGCACAAGCAAAAAAAGAAAAAAGAAACAAATGGGATTTTATCAAACTAAAAAGCTTCTGCACAACAAAGAAAAAAATCAACAGAGCAGAAAGACAACTTATGGAATGGGAGAAAATATTTGCAAACCATACATCCAACAAGGGACTAATATCCAGAATATACAAGAAACTCAAACAACTTCACAGTACAAAAAATAAATAATCCAATTAAAAAATAGGGAAAGGAGATGGACAAACATTTTTCAAAGGAAGACATACAAATGGCCAACAGGAACATGAGAAAATGCTCAACGTCACTAATCATCAGGGAAATGCAAATCAAAATTACACTGAGATATCATCTCACCCCAGTTAGATTGGCCATTATTAAAAAGACAGAATAACAAATGCTTTCAAGGATGTGGAGAAAGGGGAACTCTTCTACACTGTTGGTGGGACTGTAAATTAGTGCAGCCATTATGGAAAACAGTATAGAGGTTTCCCAAACAACTACAGATAAAACAACCATATGGTCCAGCATTCTGACTTCTGGGTATATACCCCCAGGAATGGAAATCATCATGTCGAAGGGATACCTGCACTCCCATGTTCATCACAGTTCTATTTACAATAGCCAAGATAAAGAACTCACCTAAATGCCCATCAACAGATGACTGGATAAGGAAAAGGTGGTATATACACACTACTCAGCCATAAAAAAAGAATGAAATCCTGCCATTTGCAACAACATGGATGAGCTTGGAGAAAATTATGTTAAGTGAAACAAGCCAGGCATAGAAAGAGAAATACCACATGTCCTCACCCACAAGTGGGTGCTAAGGAAGAAAGAGGGAAAGGAAGGTAAGACTGATCAATTGACCACAATACTACATTGAACTTTCAGGAGAGAACAAATCGATGGTTACTAGAGGTGGGAAAAAGGGAGGGAGAGAGGGGGTTAGGAAGAAATTGGGTAAGATGCACAAAGAATAATTACAATTTGTAATAATGAATATGCCAATAATATTGACTTGATCTTCACATATCATACACAAATATGATAGTCAACATGGTACCCCAAAAATATGTCTAATCATTTATGCTTCAGTTAAAAAAATAAAATAAAAATTAAATTCAAAAAATAAATAAGTAAATAAAATAAAATTCAGTTCACACAAAAAGTTTTTCCCAGTCTGAGAAACAACAGTAAGGCAGCAATTTAGCTCAGAAACAGAGTTCAACTTCCAGTACCCTCAGGAACTCTCCCCCAATCCAGGAATTATCCACTGGAAGCAAATTAGCTCCAGAGCAGTGCTTTAGTGATGGTGGTTTGTATTAGCATATCACAAAACAGGAAAAATAACGCAGACCAGAGATGAAGTTCTGATATTGGGCAGTAAGGGTCTAACACCACCAAAGAGCGCCTATTAAACCTGAAAGAGTTAGCCATCTTCTCAAATCTGCAGGCATCAACATAAAGACACAAAGATCAAGAAAAACATAGAAATATGACACCAACAAAGGAAACCAACAAAGTGCTACCAATGAACCCAGTAGAACAGCAGATTTATAACGGCAAAAATATCTGACTGAGAATTCAGGATTATCCTCTTAAAGATGTTCAGGGAGTCACAAGAAAATACAGATAGAAAATTAAATGATATTTGGGAAAAAATCCAGGAGCAGAAAAAGAAACTTGACAAAGAAATAAGAACCAATTAAAAAAACACAATTAGAAATTCAAGAAATAAAGAACATGTTATCTGAATTGAAAAACTCAATACAAAGCTTCAACAGCAGACTTGATCAAACAGTAAAGAATTAGTGAGCTCAAAGACAGAACATACAAAATTATCCAATCAGAAGAGCAAAAAGAATGAGAAAAAATGAAACAGAATTGCACCAATTGTGGGACTCCTTCAAGTGAAATAACCTCTGCATAACTGGTGTATCCACAGGAGATGAAAAAGGAAGAGACTTAGAAAGCATATTTAAGGAAATAATAGATGAAAATTTCCCAAGTATGGAGAAAGATGACAGCATCCAGCTACAGGAAACTCAGAGGTCATCAATCAAATTCAACCCAAAGAACACCCCAAGGCACATCATTAATACAAACTAAAGACAAAGAAAGAATACCGAAAGCAACAAGAGAAAAGAACAACATTCAACAGAGCCCCCATACAGCTCTCAGTGGATTTCTCAGTAGAAACCCTACTGGCCAGGAGAGAGTGGGATGATACATTCAAACTGCTAAAGAAAAAAGACTGTCAACCAAGAATTCTGTACCTGGCAAAACAAACCTTCAAATACAAAAGAGAAATAAAGTCTTTCCCAGACAAACAAAAGCTAACAGAATTCATCAACACTAGACCTGCCTAGTGTTGAAGGAAGAAATGGTAAAGAGAGCTCTTCAAGCTGAAAGAAGACAACACTAAAGTATAACAAAAAAAATCTGAAGGTACCAACCTCACTAGTAAAGTAAATACACATTCTTAGAATACTCCACTGTTGTACGGGTGATGATTAAACCACTTACCTCCTTACCATTAAGACTAAAGGACAAACACAACAAGATAATAACAAATCCGGTAACCATATGAGATAGGAAATATTAAAAGTAGTAACCAGGGCCGGCCCGGTGGCGCACTCGGTAGAGTGCAGCGCTTGGGAGCACGGCGGCGCTCCCACCGAGGGTTCGGATCCCATATAGAGACCGGTCCGCTCACTGGTGGAGCGCGGTGCGGGCGCGACACCGAGGGTTGCAATCCTGTTACCAGTCACGAAAAAAGACAAAATAACAAATCCGGTAACCATATGAGATAGGAAATATTAAAAGTAGTAACCAGGGCCGGCCCGGTGGCGCACTCGGTAGAGTGCAGCGCTTGGGAGCACGGCGGCGCTCCCACCGAGGGTTCGGATCCCATATAGAGACCGGTCCGCTCACTGGTTGAGCATGGTGCGGGCACGACACCAAGGGTTGCGATCCCGTTGCTGGTCGCGGTACGGGCGTGACACCGAGGGTTGCGATCCCATTACCGGTCACGAAAAAAGACAAAAAGGAAAAAAAAAAAAAGTAGTAACCAGAAACAACAAAATGTCAAAAAGCAAGGGGGAATGATGACAAGGCATAGAATTGGCTTTGTTTTTTTCCTTTTTCTCAGTGATCAAAGCTAAGCTGTTATTAGTTTAAAATAATCTGTTATAACTATAACATGTCTTTTTGTAAGCCTTGTGGTAAACATAAACAAAAACCTATAATAGACATACTAAAAATAATGGTGAGAAACCAAAATATACTAGAGAGAAGGACTTAATCACAAGGGAAGACAGTAAGAGCAGAAAAAGGGATCTACAAAACAACCAGAAAAAAGTAACAAAATGGCAAGTCCCTGTACATATATAATTCTAAATGTAAATGGTTAAATTTTCCAATTAAAAATACAGAGTGCCCAAATGAATTATAAAATCAGAACCAACAATATACTACCTACAAGAAACTCACTTCACCTATAAGGACACACAATGATTGAAAGTGAAGAGATGCAAATGGAAATCAAAAAAGACCAGAACAGTCACTGCATAATGATAAAGGAATTGATTCTATGAGAAGATATAACAATTCTAAACATACACCCACCCAATTCTGGAGTACCCAGATATATAAAGCAAATACTACTTGGCCTAATGGGAGAAATAGACTCCAACACAATAATAGTTGGGGACATTAATACCTTTCGGCAAAGGACAGATCATCAGACTGAAAATTTAAAAATTAACCAAGAAACATCAGAGTTAACCTCCACTCTAGACCAATTAGACCAAATGAACATTTATATAACATTTCATCCAACAGCTTCAGAATATACATTTTTCTCAGCAGCTCATGGAACATTCTCGAAGACGGACCATATTTTAGGTCACAAAAGAAGTCTCAAAAAATTTTTAAAAACTGAAATCATACCAACTATGATTCTGTCCAAGCACACTGGAATGAAATCTGAAATCAGTAACAAAAGTTACACTGGAAACTGTATAAATACATGGAAATTAAACAACATGCTCCTAAACAATGAATAATTCAAAGAAGAAATCAAAAAGGAAATTTTAAAATTTCTTACAAGGAAAATGAAAACACAACATACCAGAACCTATACGATACAGCAAAAGCAGCTCTATGAGGGAAGTTTTTAGCAATAAATGCCTACAAAAAAAGGAAGAAAGACTTCACATAAACAACCCAACATTACACCTTTAAGGAATTAGAAAAACAGGAACAAATCATACCGAAAACTAGTGGAAGATAAGAAATAACAAAGATTAGAGCAGAAATAAATAAATTAGAGTTTAAAATATACAAAAGATCAATAAAACAAAGAGTTGGTTTTTTGAAAAGATAAAATCAACAAATCTTTAGCTAGACTAATGAAGAATAAAAAGAAGACTCAAAATCAAAAACAAAAAAGGAAACATTACAACTGATAGCACAGAAATACGAAGGATCATAAGAGACTATTACAAAAAACTATACACTAACAAACTGGAATACCTCGAAGAAATGGATAAATTTCTAGACACATACAACTTATCAAGATTGAATCACGAAGAATTAGAAAACAGACCAATATTGAGTAATGAGATTGAGGCAGTAGTAAAAAGTCTCATAACAAAGAACACCCCAGGACCAGAAGGCTTCATTGCCAACTAATACCAGTTTTTCTCAAACTCTTCTGAAAAATAGAAGAGAAAGGAATACTTCCAAACTCACTCCATGAGACAAGTATAACCCTCATCCCAACCAGAAAAAGACAACAGAAAAGAAAACTACAGACCAATATCCCTAATGAATATAGATGCAAAAATCCTCAACAAAATACTAGTGGATCAAATCCAACAACACATTAAAAAGATCATTCACCATGATCAAGTGTGATTCATCCCAGGGATGAAAAGACGGTTCGACATACACAATCCAATTAAACAATGGGCAAAGGACCTGAACAGACATTTCTGAAAGAAGACATACAAATGGCAAACAAGCACATGAAAAAATGCTCAAAATCACTAATCATCAGGGAAATGCAAATTATAACCACAATGAGATTATCATCTCACTCCAGTTAGAATAACTATTTTCAACAAATAACAAATGCTGGCAAAGATGCAGAGAAAAAGGAACTCTCCGACATTATCAGTAAGAATGTAAATTGTTACAACCATTGTGAAAAACAGCATGGAGATTCCTCAGAGAACTAAAAATAGATCTACCTTACCACCCAGCTATCACACTACTGGGTATATACCCAAAGGAAATGAAATAAAAAAGACACCTGTACTCCCATGTTCACTGCAACATTATTCACAATAGCCAAGAGATGAAATCCACCTAAATGCCCATCAACAGACAAATGGATTTAAAAACTGTGATATATACACAATGGAATATATTTCTACTGGACAGTGCTAGCCTAGAAAATCTTACTTAAGCTAATAAATGATGTTCTTATATAATGAGCTTAAACGTGTAATTTATCATCCAACCTGGGGGCACTAATGAGAGTGGCACAGGTGCTATTAAAACAGAGACAATGAGCACAGACTCAGAACATGTGGGTACCCTTTAGAAAATAAGTATATAAGCAAAGACACAAAATTTTCACAAGTTCTCTATGATTATCACGCTTCCACAAGTTTTCTATATATTTAAGAACTCTTCATTAATCATACTCTTCTATAACTTTTCTTCTCTTAAATTCTATTTCCCACATTACCAACTGATACCACCCCCACAAAAAGGAGTTCCCATGCTATAGGAAGTATAGAGAAATGTAATTCTCTTCCCTCCCATATCATGTATAGTTCACAAAATCAAAAATAAGTAAGTAACTGTGTGCATTACAGCGATTCATATTCTTAAATTCTGGAACATAAGTACTTTGGTGCTTTGCTTTTTAAAACTGACTAAATTTACCTGACTGGCAGCCGGCCAGAAGAAAAGTAGAAATGTTTCATTAGTGCTTCCAATTTTATAATGAGAAAAATATCATATCTCAAATTCAAATTTAAGACGTTAGAAAAAAATGACGTTTTAAAATTTATCTTTCAAGAAACAATCTTGTAAAAGACCCCTAGATGGGGCTATAACTTCACAAATACAGTACAATAGTCAGAATCTTCAGCAATTTATGCATCCTAGAATGTTGGTATTAAATTGAGTGTAATTCTGAAATCACAATCTTACTGGTTTCCTTTTTTATTTTTTTAACTTGGTGTGTTATGAGCATACTATTCATAACTCAGGTAAAGTCCCAGCTGTAGTCATTTGTCTTCTGCTAAATAATTCAATAAAAATTAGGCACTGATAATGATAATGATAAATATATTTATTCCTGGGTTTTCGTTTTTGTTCGGGAGGACTGGGGTAAAGGGAAGAGAAGAAATCAACCAGGTGGCTATTTACCTGGGCCCAAAATGTTACCGCATCTTCTACGTGACTTCCAACCACATCTTCAACTGAAACCAAATCATAATGCAAGGAAAATTAGAAACAAATCAATATCACCTAGCTCTTACACCCCAAAATAATTTTAATGTCAGTACCTTCACAGTAATGTACATTTTCATCCATTTGGACAATTCCTGAAAAACTAAAACAATTCAATACTTTAAATTAGATTACAATAATCCACCCATTAACAATGCATAAAAACTAAAACACCTAATGTACTAATTCTTAAAAGTATGTTTTGTCTGAAAAGTTAATTTAAAATTCAAACCCTATATTAAAAATGGCCTCAGATATTTTCTTCAATAATCTTTTTTTTTTTTTGAGTATACCGTAGTTTGCAATTTTATCATACATAATCTCTACCTTTAAAGTTGTCTCTTCAGCCAAACTTTTACAAATTTACACTGAAGTGGGTAATTCATGAAGTGGACATTTTGGTCGTTTACATAAATCAATATTTTGGAACAATGTGCATATTCTTTCCAAAAAAATTAATGCTCTGACAAAACAAGGGTAAGACTTCCATCAGGTAAACAAAGAGAAACACTACAAGTAATAGAACAAATGCTTCAGACTGGGAATCAATTTTATTTAAAAGGCACAGTGAATATACTTTTGAAGATACCCTGTAATTAAAGACTGCAACATAAATCAAATTTTGCCCATTACTTCAAAAATAATTCTCATTACATAATACTATACCAACTACAACACAGTTCTATGTTGTACTACTACCTTATAATTTTATCCTTAATATATTAGAATATTGCACTTTCCATTCATAAATATTGAAGAGAAATATACTTTTTTAAGAGTTTTAAAAGTTATCCAAGAATATCACTATACCAAAGTTCTAAATGCTCTCTCAACTTATGAAAAGGGAAAAGTTATTAACTTATTCATCAGAAAGAAAAAAAAGTTCATAAAATTTTAAAATTTAATTCTTCTGATTTTTCTTTACAGCTTAATTTTTTTTTTTTTTCAAATACGCTAAGGGGCATTAAAATGCCTTCAAAACAAGAATTCTTTAACATTGGTCAAAAAGTAGTTTTTAAATGGAATTCACCAAAAAGTTGTAAACTCAAGTTGGAATGTGTTTAGGCAGATTATGTATTTCCTTGGAAGACATTAAGTCTTAAACTTGGTAAAAATGAAATTGTTTACTTTGGAAATCCCACCACTTACTCTAAGAATCTTTCTAGAACAGTTTTAAAATCTTATTTTAAAATGATTTTCCCCCTCTGATTACGAAGAAACTGATGCTGTACCCACTTCCTGCAAACGCAGATTACCAAATGGTGCGCCCAAATCTCCACTTCAAGACCATTATTTGGAAGAAGTGGGTACAGGGAGCTCTTTGACACTTTATCAGGGATTCTGAAGTTCAAATGACACAGAACTTGCAGGAAGGGAAGGAGATAATTCCACCCCCGCACACGCCTGCTTATCCTGAGAAATCTAGGGCCCAAGTTATTTGCAAGCTGATTTCGCCTTGGGTGCCACACTCAAAAATTGGGGTGCCTGTCACCCCTTAGAGGTGGCGGGCTCATCTGTGGCGACGGATGGCCAAGAAATGGACCTCGTCAGGGGCCTGGAGACCTAAGACGCAACAATCGACGAAAATGTGAGCTTGAAGCTACCACCATAGCCCTTATCACAAGGACTACTACTGACCTCACACCTTTCTCCATGTACGCTGTAGGAACGTGATCCCAGCCCCACCTGCCGTGCCTCAGCCCTCCACCAGCCACCACCTCTAGACCTCGACCCCCCAAAGGCTTACTGCGTCTGCTTCCGTCGCTCAGGCTCCATATTGCGCTTGCGCACTGTGTGCTACGACATCGGCGTTTGGCGGGAGCCGTAGCAGAGTCACGTGGCCGCCGAGGCTCGGGTTTAGGGAGAGGCTCGCGGGACGGGGCCTGCGCTCTCGCTCCTTCCTCCTGCGGGCTGAGAGCAGCGCACTGAGGTTGCACACTGGGGATTTCTAGGCGCGGACTCCGCAGGCGCTGGCCAATGGCTGCTTCTTTTTACGAGGTTTCAATCAATGACGTCAGATGGTCACGTGAGATTTTGTGGTCTTTACTACGTTGTGCACAGGAATTTAAGTTTTAGAACACCTGGATTAGAAGAGTCCCAACATTCTTTTTATGCAGCGAAAAAGAGAAAATGACTTTGGCAAATGAAAATGTGCTTTTCAGGTTAGTAGCTTCACAAGCATTACTCAACCCAACCTTAGCATATGTCTCTCTAACATTGCAGCTTTTTCTCCCGACTTGAGGGGGGCGATTAATGTAGCTTGGCTATCCAGTCATAGGCAGATATTATACTTTGTGACAAACACAGTTGAAAAATATCTCCAATCGGGCCGGCCGGTGGCGCAATGGAGAGTGCGCCGCTTGGGAGCGTGGCGGCGCTCCCGCCGAGGGTTCAGATCCCATGTGGAGACCGGTTCCCGCTCACTGGCTGAGCGTGGTGCGGGCGCAACACCGAGGGTTGCGATCCCATTGCCCGTCCCCAGTATGGGCGCAACACCGAGGGTTGCGTTCCCATTACCAGTCAGTAAAAAAGACAAAAAGGAAAAATATCTCCAATTAATCGTTAATAGCTTGATTGAGATATAATTAACATACAATAAACTGCAGATATCAAAAGCGTGCAATTTAAGGGCAAACACTCTTTCGTTTGATTCCAAAATCACCCCCACAATCAAGAAAAACTTTTTCCTCACCCTGAAAAGTTTCCTCATGTCCATTTAAAATAACTGGCTCCAAGGATGCAGAGAAAAAGGAACTCTCATACACTGTTGGTGGGACTGCAAAATGGTGCAGCCTTTATGGAAAATGGTATGGAGGTTCCTCAAACAATTACATGTAGATCTACCATATGACCCAGCTATCCCACTGCTGGGACTATACCCAGAGGAATGGAAATCATCATGCTGAAGGGATACCTGTACTCCCATGTTTATTGCAGCTCTATTTACAACAACTAAGAGTTAGAACCAGCTCAAATGTCCATCATCAGATGAGTGGATAAGGAAACTGGTATATCTACACAATGGAATTCTACTCAGCTAAAAAAAAGAATGAAATACTACCATTCACAACAACATGGATGGACTTAGAGAAAACTATATCAAGTGAAACAAGTCAGGCACAGAAAGAGAAATATCACATGTTCTCACTTATTTGTGGGAGCTAAAAATAAATAAATAAACACACAAAGGGGGGGGAAGAAGACACACCAATCACAATTCCTTGAATTTGTTAAGGCAAGTGAACAGATATGATGGGGAGAAGGGAAGAGAGGGAGGGAGGGAAGAAGAACGGGTAAAGGGTCATGAAAATCCACTACGATGTATATTGAGAAGTTAAAATACAAATAAAATAAAATACCTGGCTCCCTCCACCTACCTTTCTGCTTTCTGTCACCTTACATTAGTTTGCATTTTCTAGAATTTGATACTAATAGAAGCATACAGTATGAACAGTTTATCTGGCTGCTTCCTATGTATCAATAGTTTGTTGTTTTTTATTGTTGATACTATTCCATTTCATAAATATCGCACAGTTTATCTACATTTTGATAGACATTGGGACTGTTTCCAGTTTGGGTTTGTTTCAAACAAAGCTGCTATTGTGTACAAGTCTCTATGTGGACATACGCTTTCTTTTCTCTTAGGTTAATACCTAGGAGTGTAATGGCTAGGTCATAGAGTTGTGTGTGTTTGTTAAAGAAAAGCCAGACTGTTTTACAAAGTAGTTGTACTACGTTATATTCCCACCAGCAGTGTTTAAAAGTTCTAGGTGTTCTGTAACCTCACCATCACTTGATATGGTCAGAGATTTTAAGTTTAAATATTTATGCATAGTTATGTCTCCTTATGGTTTTAATTTGCATTTATTTCTCTATATACTAAAAATGTTGAGTATATTTTTATCAATTCTCCATCCATATATCTTCTTAGATGAAATGTCTGTTCAGATATTTTTCTCACTTTTTAACTAGGCTGTTTTATTAGTGAGTTTTGACAGTTTTTTACATACTATAGATACAACTTCTTCAGATTTGCAAATATTTTCTCCCAGTCTATGGCTGTCTTTTCATTCTCTGAAAAGGGTATTTCAAAGAGCAGAAGTTCTTAATTTTGATGAAGTCCAATCTATGAGTTTCATCTTACAAATCATGCTTTTGTGTTGTAGCTAAGAAATCTCTGGTTGACCCAGTTCACAGAAGTTTTCTCCTAAATTTTCTCCTAGAAGTTTTACAAGGTTGAGCTTTAACTTTAGATCCAGAATCCATTTCATAAGATGTGAAACATGAATCAAAGTTCATTTTTTTGCATATGGATATTCAATTTTTCCAGCACTATTTATTAAATATCAGTTGACCGTGTGTGTGGCTTTTTCTGGATTCTCTAAATTTAATAAAGAAAACAAATAGTAATAGAACAGTCTTAATTGCTATAGTTTACAGTAAATCTTAAAGACTGGTACTATGAGCCTTTCAACATTGTTTTCAGTTGTTTTAGCTTTGCAGTGTGTGAATTATAGAATTAACTTGTCGATGTCTACACACACACACACACACACACACACACATACACACAGCCTGCTGAGATTTTGATTGGATTGCATTTCTTTTTTTTTTTTTTTCGTTAAATTTTTATTTTGTCAATATACAATGTATATGATTATTATGGCCCATCACCGACACCTACCTCCCTCCTCCCTCTCTCCCCTCCCCCCCAAGAATGTCCTTTACGTTTGCTTGTTGTAACAACTTCATAAAAGTATAGTTGTTATATCTTCTTCCCCCTCCCCCCCCGGGTTTTTTTGTGTCTGTATGTGGGTGAATTAATTTGTTTATTTTTTAGCTCCCACCAATGAGTGAGAACATGTGGTATTTCTTTTTCTCTGCCTGACTCGTTTCACTCAATATTATTCTCTCAAGGTCCATCCATGTTGTTGCAAATGGCAGTATTTCATTCGTTTTTATAGCTGAGTAGTATTCCATTGTGTAGATATACCACATTTTCCGTATCCACTCATCCGATGATGGACATTTGGGCTGATTCCAGCTCTTGGCTATTGTGAAGAGTGCTGCAATGAACATTGGGAAACAGGTATACCTTCGACTTGATGATTTCCATTCCTTTGGGTATATTCCCAGCAGTGGGATAGCTGGGTCATATGGCAGATCTATCTGCAACTGTTTGAGGAACCTCCAAACCATTTTCCATAGGGGTTGCACCATTTTGCATTCCCACCAACAATGTATGATTGGATTGCATTTCTATACATCAATTTTAGGAGAACTGACAACTATATTGAGTCTTCTGATCCTTGAACATAGTCTATATCTCCATTTATTTACTTAGGTCTTCTTTTATATCTCTGAGCAATGTTTTGTACTTTTCAATATAAAGGTTTTGCACATCTTTTGTGTAATTCATCCCTAAGGGTTTCATTTTTTTATGCTGTTGTAAATGATATTTTCTTAATTTCAATTTCTGTGTTTTGTTGCTAGTATATAGAAATATAATTTTTGCACATTGATCATATTTACTACATCTTTGCAAATTCACTTATTATTTTTAGTGGTAGGTTTTTTTAGATTTAACAGAATTTTCTATGCAGATGATAATGTAATATTCAAATTAAAACTGTTTTACTTTCTCCTTTCCAATCTGGATGTCTTTTATTTCTCCTTATTTTGCCTTATTGCAATGACTAGAGCCTCCAGTACAATATCAAATAGAAGTGCTGAGAGCAGACACCTTTGCCATGTTCCTAATCTTAGGAGGAAAGCATTTTCCTTTCACGGTTAAGTATGACGTTAACTGTGTGTTTTTAGTAGATACCTTTTAAAAGACTGAAGAAGTTTCCTTCCTTCTATCCCTAGATTGTTGAGAGTTTTTATCATGACGTGCGTTGAATTTTGTCAAATACTTCTACATATATTGAGATAATTATGTGGTACTTTCTTAGTTTGTTAATACTGATTAATTTTTAAAAGTTAAACCAACCATGCGTTCCTAGGATAAAACCCACCTAGTCATGATGTATTATCCTTTTTATACGTTCTTTGATTTGCTAAAATTGGTAAGAATTTTTGCATCTATGTTCAAGAGGAATATTGGTCTGAAATTTTCTTTTCTTCTAATGTCTGTCTGATTTTGATATCAGAGGAATGCTGAATAAGTTGTAAAGATTTCCCAACTTAAATTTTCTGGAAAAGTCTGTATGCAATTGATACTCTGTTCCTTAAATATTTGGTAAAATTCACAGTGCGGCTATCTGGGCCTGGAATTTTCTCTGTGGGAAGGTTTATAACTACAAATTCAATTTCTTTAACAGATATAGAGCTAATCAATTTATCTAATTATTTTTGAGTGAACTTGATAGTTTGCCTCTGTATTATAAATTTTTTAAACTTTGCATTTTCCTGATGCCTCAACATCCCCACAAACAGGCTGTGAGCACCACCACCCCCCACCTTGGCCAAGCAACTGGGTTCACCAGTGTGATACGGCTGGTCCCTACCACAAGTTCCCCTTCTTGCCCTCCTCTGACTGTGACCTAGTGACATACAAAAGCACCAATGAAATCCTCTCACACCTTTCACTTGTGTCCTTCACTTTGACCCCTAGTAAAGGCACTTACCTGTGGGTTCTCACTCTTTCAGCTGCCCACCTGCTTGGCTGAGCCCACTTCCTCTGGGTTCGCTCCTCCCATGCAGCCCCGAGTGGCATGCCGTGCCTCCCTGTTCTAGGACCTGTGAATATTATAAGCCCTTTAATTCCATATGCCTCTCTGTAATTTCCACAACCAAATGGAATGATTCTTAAAGATCCCACAGGGGGACTTACTTTTCCCATTTGCAATACAGTGATTCTCAAAGAATTTTTCTACTTCATCTGTCGAAATAATTGGCATAAAGTTGTTTATAATATTCCCTTAGTATCCTACAATATCTATAGAATAGCAATGTCACCACTCTCATTCCTAACATTGGTAATTTGTGTCCTCTCTCTCTCTCTCCTTCTCTCTCACTGATCAGTCAGGCTAGAGGTTTATCAATTTTATTAGTCTTCTCAAAAAAAAACCTTTGGTTTTACTGATTTTCTCTATTGCTTTTCTGTTTTCTATTTCAGTTTATGCTCTGTTCTTTATTATTTCCTTTTTCCCTTTATTTTAGTTCACATTTGCTCTTATTTTTCTAGTTCCTTAAGGTAAAGACTGAGGTCACTGATTTGAAATCTTTCTTCTTGACTTATACAGGCATTTGGTGATACAAATTTCCCTCTAAATACTGCTTTCGCTGCATCACACAAATATCATGCTGTGTTTTCATCCTCATCCAATTAAAAGTACTTTTATTCCTTTTTTTCCTTTGACCATGGATATTTTTTAAGCATGTGATATATAACTTTAAAATATTTGGAGGTTTTCCAGATATCTTGGTTACTGATTTCTAATTTAATTCCATTGTGGTCAGAGGACATACTTTATGATCTAAGTCATCTTAAAAGTATTGACACTTGTTCTATGACCTAGAATATGGGTCAATCTTAGCAAATGCTCTATTTGCATTAAAAAAAAGAATGGGTACTCTGCTGTTGTTGGTTTGAGTGTTCTACAAAGGTCAATTAGGTCAAGTTGTTTAATAGTGTTGTTCAAGTCTTCTATATTGTTACTGATTTTATGTGTACCTGACCCATTGGTCAAGGGAGGCTCCTAGGTCATTAACTCTATCTTGCAGTCTGAGAAGCCCTGGGCAAAGAAGCAAGAGCTATCAGTGTAGGCCCAAGAGTTCTGTCAGCTTCAAGGTATAGCTATCCCAGTTATATATACTTAATTAAAGGACTGTAGAAATAAAGAATAGACCAAACCCATTCTACCCACTATGAGATGGGCTTTGGCCAGGACTCCACTTATCACTGGGCTTCCACAAAACCTTATTCTATCTAGTAAGTATTGTGGTCACCAGTAGACCACAATGGTGTTTTGAGTTCTCTGGGGTCCATGTCAGCTCAGACCTTGTGTCCAGCAGTCCTTGGTTGAAAAATCTGAGTATTCCTCTTTCTCCACTGTATAGTTACCCCAGTAAATCATGGTGAATAACTTCCCCTTTGAGGAAGGATCAGAGGTATAGTTATCAAATGTATTTGAGAATCTCCTCAGAGACCTGGGCTCTCCCTTCCATCATGGTCTCTATATCTGAACTGCCTAATATCTGGAAAGTGAGTGAGGACTTGTGATTTTACATTACTGTGATTGACATCAGTGTTCTGCTTGCCAGGCCTCAATTTTTTTGAGGGGAGAGGGGCAGTTATACAAGTCAAATAACATCCTACCGCTGACCTTCTGTCTTGCCCCTTGGAACATCATGAACTTAACCTTACTCACAGATCCATGTCTTGGTGTTCCTTACGTTTGTACACAGTTAAGTTCCACAACCTGACCTTCAACGTTTGTGCATCCCATCATGTATCTTCATTGATACCCCAGAGCCCAGTATGATGGCATCATCTTCTATCATCAATTCTAGACTATAGAGGTCAGGCACTGCCAATCTTCTCAAAGTTTCCAGTATACCCTTCATCATTACATTTCTTATTTATTTCTTAAGTGTCATCTGGGCCTTCCAAGGGAAAAGTCAAGAGGTAGCTTCTACAGTTTTAACCAAAAACTCCATTCTAACATTCCCACTTCCCTGAGCTTTCTGACTCCTTCCTCAATACTAGCCAAATCACTTCTGACATGTTCACCATACCTTCTATATGCCATCTTTGCAGTGTGAGGACCAACTCCAGACATCCTGGCCAAGGCCTTAAATCATGCATCATGAGCGAGTGTTCCTATGTCACTCCCTCCTATCAAGTCTTATATTCCACTCCACCCCACCCCTTAATCTAACATCCTCAAGATCTATTCCCAGACATGTTTCCTGGGTTATTGCCAATACATTTAACCAGAATTTGCAGTTCATTCAGAGTGTAACCTATCCTTCTAGTGGAAGGAGTGAAATTCCCCACTTGCAGAATACTGAGACCTGATCTTAGTTATTAGTTTGGAGTCAATGAGAGGTAGCAGGGTTGGGTCCTGAGGAGTAAAAGTGTCACTTTGTGATGCAACTGCCTCACATAAAGCTTTTGCAGTATCTCAAGGCAAAGGTGAGCTTTTCACTAGCAAAATGGAGGACGCTGCTTCTGGCAGCTCAGAGGCTCAAGAAAATCTGAGAGTTAAGATTCTCAGGCTCACCAACACAAATGTCTCCTCCCATGATTGAGGGTTCTATTCTTTTCTCATCAGCATGCTTTGTTGGAGACGACAGACACCCTGCATTCAGTCTCCTCTGCAGCCTTGCCACATTTACTATTAGATTTGGACCTGTTCATCAGCAGTCTGCCCTGCATCTCCAAGGGATGAGATTTTTCTTACAGGGTGCTCTAGAGGGACTCTGGCTTTCACAGTAGGCCTTGAGTTAAGTGGCTAACATGAGTCTATGTCATTTTCTTTTTTCAAGGTTTCTAAAGCTGTTAACAATAGCTAATCAACACCTCAATCCTTGTAATTTCCATTCATTCCATCCCACTGTAATGACACAGCTACTGCATAACGTAACACTTCACCTTCTACCTGTATGTCATCCAAATCTTCCACAGTAATTGATCCAGTCACAGAATCCCATCCTGAGTATTTGCTTTCTCAGGCCATTCCTGGGACCAACCATCTTAGCCTGAGCTTACCCCCCACCCCATCCAAAAGCAAAGCCTAAAACAAATATAGGTCCTCATATAGGTAGTTTATTTAGAAAGTAGTCTGAAGGATCCAGAGGGTGTGGAAAAGAAAAAAAGAGAAAGCTAACATGAGGATGAATTATTGAGCAACACACAGCTATGCGTAACTAATAATCAATCCCACAGGACTTTCTGAGGAAGCTTATGTTACCATCTCAGAATTGCCTTCCCAGCAGACAGAAAGGGGCAGCATTTATCTATTGGCTTCCATCTCCCATTAGTCAAGGGTGACTCCAAGGTCATTAGCTCCCCCACAACTTTGGGCTACACATGTATGACACAGAGGGGTTCCAGTGGGCATCCCAAGCCACAGTGTCCAAAGATCCCTGCAGAAGAAAGCAAGAAAACCATTACCTGGGCCCAAGACAAGGTGCCATCAAATGGCTTCCACAAGAAACTGTCAGAATAACTTCTGACAGGCTTGGCAGTGTTTCACAGCAGTACTGGAGTAAGAGGTGGGGCCAAGAGGATTTGAAATGGCATACAAGAGGTGTCCAATACAAATATATACAATACCACTTAAAAATTAGTAGATATCACTAGAAAATGATTGTATAATTTTTAAATACTATTTTTTATTTAAAAACATAAATTAACATTACAAAGTTTGAAAAATAAAAAATTAATGATTTTAACTTCCTATTTTGAATGAACAAGTGGCCCTTATATATTTGTTCAAAACCTCTGATAACATCTTTAATGTTTTAAATAGCCTAAAAAAGTTATTATAGACTAAAAAATATTTACTGTACTTTCAGGTTTTGACTCATATGAAAATAACCTCATTTATTAGGAGAGGGGGAAAGTACATACAAAATAGTAAACCATGAATTTTGATAAAAATAATAGAAGGTATTTTTACCACTTAAATAAATTATGGAACCATCCAAGAAAAACATAGTATACAGTAAAAAATGTAAATAATTTGAGAGAAAATAAACTGCATTATTACATTTAAATAAACATGAAAAAGATATATTTGGATGATGGTTTTATTTTCTCTGATAGTCTTCATGAAGGTTTTGTACTTGATAGCGATGGAGCTTTTCCTTTCTGCGTAGCAGCCTTTTCCATTTTTATCTGTAAATTTAAAATACTTATTGATACAATAATTTGTAAACCATTCTAAAGGGAAAAAAAGGTTGCACATGCCTCATTTGGATTCATGTTTTATTTATCACAGTCATTCCATACAGTTGTTAAACTGCTAAATACTAAAGCTAAAATGTGATAGTTAAAGGGACATAATTGCATATTTTAAAATGGTTTGATTTTAACCTTGCAGAAGCATTTTAATAAAAATAACATATAAATGAATGTTACTTTAGAGAAAAGAATGAATTTTGATTGCCACTAAAATTTTTTTTAAAAGCTTAAATGCCTAACCTTACATCCAGCCTATGCACATTCCCTACAGGGTTACAGAATATACCTAATCCAGCTGTATTATTTCTGGAACATGGACTGCTTTAAGGATGTTTTCCTATAATTCTGGTTTCTACATTTTCACAGCTACCCTCCTGAAGGTCTTGTCCTCCTCCACTGCAGTTACAGCAAAAAAGAAGCACACATACCCTAAGCAGTGGCCTTCTAACTTTCTAAACGTAGACCTTTTCCATGGAACTAAAGATCCCAAAAAACCCAAAGTCCACCTGCCTCTTCCTGATTACCATTCACACCAGTTTCCAGAGGCACATCACTGCCTTATCCCTGCAAGAAAAGGGGAGAGAAAATAAGGGTATGCAAGATGGAGGCAGGAACTCCCTGCCTCTAAAGTAATGGGAACAATATCAAGAAACCAGGAAGGACTGGTAAAACCAGTCAGACCCATCTGATTGCAAGTAGTAAATGTCCAATAATAAAATCAGATTAATCTAATCTGTCTCATTATTTTCCTCTCTCTCCTCTGAGTTGGTTGGGAACCTCATTCAGAAACGATACATCACCCCACTCTTACACACTGTACCAGTCAACTAACTGGTCATCTGATGGACCCCCAAAGAACACCCTACCTTAAGGCAAAGATAATAGGTTTTAGACTATAGGTTTTGGAGTCAGAAGAGGATTTGAATTCTATCTCTCCTATTTATTAGGCATTTGGAGCAGGTGACTTAACCAACAGTTTCTCATTTGTAAGAAAAGGTCACAGTAATAGCTACTTCTCAGAGTTATCCTAAAGGTGTAAATTAGAGGGCCGAGCCCATGGCTCATTTGGGAGAGCATGATGCTGACAACACCAAGTTAAAAGGTTGAGATTCCCTTACCAGTTGTCTTTAAAAAAAAAAAAAAAAAAGTCGGGCCGGCCCGGGGGCGCACTGGATAAGTGCGCCGCTTGGGAAGCGCGGCGGCGCTCCCGCCCGAGGGTTCGGATCCCACATACAGACCGGTTCCCGCTCACTGGCTGAGCGAGGCGCGGGGGCAACGCCGAGGGTTGCAATCCCGTTGCCGGTCCCCGGTCCGGTACGGGGGCAACACTGAGGGTTACGATCCATTGCCGGACACGGAAAAAAGACAAAAAAAAAAAAAAAGTATAAATTAGATAACATATATATAAATCTAGGTACTTAATAAGTACTTAACAAATGCTAGTCCCTGTTCCCCTCCCATTTAAAGCTCAGTGTTACATCTGTAGTAACATCCAAAAAAAAGAAAGCAAAGATGATAAACAACAAACAAAAGCCTAAGCAATGTTTGCACATTTGAAATAGTACTGGGCAAATATATCCATCTAGAGTCCTAAGAGCAAAGATAACTCCTCTTTTTCTTTTTTTTTTTTTCAGTTATTATTTTTTATTAGAGCCTAAGCAATGTTTGCACATTTTAAAAAGTACTGGACAAATATATCCATCTAGAGACCTAAAAGCAAAGATACCTCCTCCTTTTCTTTTCCTTTTTTTTCTTTTTTTAAATTTCCTGGCATGAACACAATGCCTTGCACCTAGTAGACCTTTGATACTTGTTTCTTTAATAAAATTCTCCTTTCTCAGGGAAAAGAGACCAAGGGTCATCCACAGCAGAAGAAAATAATTTGACCTAATATATTAAAAAAAAACCAACTTTTCAATAATATCAAAAATTATTAATCACAAAGCCTTCAATTATCAAAGCTGACTTACGCTAGTCATAGATTCTTCCCCATGCCAAATGTTACCAAAAGTTAGCAAAGGATACAAGCAAAAACCAGATACACATATAGCATTGCTTTTGAGAGAGGCCTTGAACCATCAGACTTCCTAATCAGAGAATATAAATGTTTTATATCTGCACTGTCCAATAAGGCTAACCAGTTATCCCAGTTGGTTAGAGTACAGCCTTATAACCCCAAGGTCACAGGTTTAGATCCCTGTACCAGCCAGCTGCCAAGAAAAAAGACTTTCCTAAGTGTTCCTTTTCTCCCAATGGTTTTGAAGTAAAAGACAAGTATTAACAATGTGTATGCTACATGTCAGCTCAGAGGAATTCATTTAGGTGTGGCTGCCTTAGTTTTTATACTCCATTAATCACAGAGGCTAGAGAGTTATACCATAAATTCCAGGTTTATTTTTAAAAAGCAATCTGGACAGGGCGGGTATATCCTTATAAACACTGACAAATAAGAACTCCCATTATCTTCCAAAAAGCAAATACCAGTGGCCGGGTTTCAAGGCAGTCACCATTACCCAGTCTTCTAAAACAGGGAAGGAAGGGGTTCTAGAACCCAGTCTCCCATAAGCCTATGAGGAAAAACTAAAATTCAGCAGTGAATGTGTGTGTCCCAAGAATGCAGACTGATTTGATTATAAGTCCTACCCTTGATGATGCTATAAAAACAGACTTTTCTTTCATCATTCTAAACATTTCATTTCTCTCCTTGACATCTTACCACTACCTGTTTCCCTTTGCTATGGTCTGAATGTAAGATTCATATATTTAAATATAAAAATATTTAACTAAATATTAAATTAAATATTAAAAATATTTAATTCAATTCAGATATTAAAACAATCACCAATGTGATGGTTTTAGGAGGTGGGGCCTTTGGGAGGTGATTAGGTCATGCAGGCAGAGAACTCATGAATGGGATTAGTGCCTTTATAAAAGAGACCCCAGAGACCTGTCATGCAGCATCTACCATGTGAGGACACAGGGATAAGACACCATCTATGGCCAGGAAGCAGTCCCCACCAGACACTGAAACTGCTGGCACCTTGATCTTGGACTTCCCAGCCTCCAGAACTATGAGAAATAAATTTCTGTTGTTTATAAGCCACCTGGTTTATGGTATTTTTGTTATAGCAGCCCAAACAGACTGAGACACCCTTAGACCAGAGCTTTCCAAAAGAATTTTCTGTGATGATGAAAATGTTTTATATATGCGTTATCCAGGAAGGTAGCCACTAGCCATGTGTGGCTACTGAACTCTTGAAATGTGGTTAGTATGACTGAGGAAGTAAATTTCAATTTATTTAAATTTAGACTTACAAGGCTACATATGGCAAACAACTACACCACAGAAAGTTTCTATCATTGCAAAAAGTTCTATTGTCTAGCTCTGCCTTAAACCATATCCAGGATTCTCCCCCTCTACTTCAAACTTTTTCATCAGAGAAACCAAGCTAATCTCTCTGTCTTCTACTCACTTTCCCTGCTACTGAATGGTGAATTTATTTAATGTTCTCTTTTTTCCCCACTTCAGTTGCTCAACAAGCTCTTCTCTAAGAGTTGTAAAGGATACAACAAAAAGTGACAGGAGTTTCTTTACTTTCCAGGAGTTTATTACCTAGTTGGACAGACAATAATACCAATAAAGCAACTATAAAATAGTCCTAAAGAAAGTGCTTTCAGCCATATGGCTGAAATACCATTCCCCATACTTCATTAAGCCAACATTCTTCCATCTGGCAAAAAGCAAAATCAAAACTCTCCAATACAAACACTACCATGAAACTTATGAAAAGTGTAAGTAGTTGACATATATAAAAGTGAAAATCAATTATATCTGATATATGTGTTAATTTTTTTCAATTTTCCATGAATGTTGTTGAAAACTTATTTTGTATAAGACGGTATACTAAGTGCTAGGGAAAATATAAAGATGAATAAAATACTGTGTTATCTCCAAGGCACTTACACTCTGGTGGAGAACTGATGAAAATGACTATTACTGAAAGCTGTGAACAACTATCAAGACTATAGTTGTTCAGCCCTGGAAATGGTTAAAATATGTTTATGTTTAGTGTCCTGCTTCTTAAAGGCTATTGGTTAAGTTTACCTTGAGTCTGAATCTACCTAAAAGCCTCTAAGAAGAAGAAATACTACATATTAAGAACTCAAAGTATATTCAATCTCTTTATGTGACAACTAAATATTTTAAAATAGAAAATGAAGCTACATGTATAAAAAAATTTAAGATACATATAATTTACAAATATGCTGATGGCTGATGTTTATTATTGACAATTTTATTTGTGTATTTAGTCAGTGTTTATAACTCTTATAAATCAGTCAGTGTATTATACATCATATTATTCATTAGTCCTGTTTCTGTCTGGATTGTTCTATGTAAACCTCAAGGCCAAACACCACCTATAAGTAAGGCCTCTACAAATTATTTTTAATAATGTTACACATTCTACATAATCATTCTATAGTGTTTTTGTTACACATAAGTGCTTAATGCAAGTGGATTTCCTCAAAAACCTACCCTTTCCTGGTATCGTCTTTCAAAGAAAGCCATATCATCCTCTTCGGGTCTCCTTAAGGAAGAAACTTGACTACTTGTACCTGCTAACAAGGGGGAAAAAATCTAAGTTACATATTTATATCATTATATATTCCCCTGAAATAAAAAACAAAAAGGAAACTTTCCTCCTGCCAGGTTATAATTGTTGCTTTGCCTCCCACAGATCTGTCACCCCTTTTCCCCTGGGTGACGGAGCCGCCAAAGATTACTCAAAGCCCATCTCTTTTGAGCAGTGAGAAGCCCCAGAAAGGGGTTAATATCCTAGGACCCTCAAGTGTGAGGCATCCTTCCATTTAGAAAATTAACTACGAATTGGGGTTCTCTTCCTGCATTTACTCTCCAGACCAAGAAGTTACAGGAAGAGACATAGGTGGGGTTTTGTTAAGTTCAGTTTAACAAGTTTAACAATAGAAGCTGGTAACATTCAGTAAGTCAAGCAAGGTGACCTTCTGTAATGCAATTTGCAACTAAGGCTTGATTTAGCAAACATTCCTTTTCCCTCCAGCAGCTTTTTAGTAACTTTACATATAAATTAGTAACCTGTCTGTCTTTGAACCAGCAGCCTTGCTGTGTTACCATTCTTATCTTCTAACAGAGACTCAATAGCCTGGGGAAAATCTCCTGTCCTTTGCAAGGTCAATATTTGAAACTGCAAGGCTTTGGAAAACCAGGCCCTGTGAGGTACATTTGCTTTATAGTATATTCCACAATAATGTTCTATTTTTCAAACCAGAAGTGGTCAAATGGATAATTGGTCCTACTACCTCATTCTTTTTTAGAAAGAATGGCATCATAGGGCAAAAATAATTTTCAATGGCAAACTTTCTCCAAATATTCAACTGGCTCACATTAAATATACCAGATAGACAGATAACATGAGCAAGAGAGAAAGCAACAGGAAAGGCAGAAAGAGAGAAAGATTCTCAGATCAATAACAAAAAGAGAAAACAACCTCAAGGGGGGAAAATGTCCATTGACAGGAGAAAGGACAACTAACTTCAGGGCAGCAGCTACTTCTAGGCAGAAGGTGGGGATTAGGCCCAGGTAGAACATCTGGGGACTAATGATCTTAAGGGTGGTGGGCATGTGGGTTTTCATCTTATTTCTGTGCTTTACAACCACATGTATATACTGTGTACATATCAAATACCACAGTTTAAAAATCATTTGAAAATAAATAAATAATGCCATATAGTTATCCCACATAAGAGTACACTTAGTTTTATCCAACAACTTCTTACATTTCACAACTAGAAATCCATGTTATACTTTATGAGATAATGCATAGAAGTAATTATTGAGGCTTTGTATAGGTAATCATAGTGATAATACTACCTGCTTCAAAATTTTTCAAAATTAAAATATTTTAGCCATTTTTCATGGTATTCATCACTTTGTAAAACTAATAAAGCACTAGTTTATGTGTTGAAAGGAATTTAAAATTGCTTCAGTAAACAAAATCTGGTTTTCTTCATAGGTACCCCAAGAACCTAGTTCTACGGAAAAGTTCACCTTCATTGTAGGTGAATATCTTCTTTGGGTCCTTTCATTTCCAAACCAGAATATCAACCTGAACACCACTTCTTCTAGTTTTTAAATTCACCTTCAAAAAGCAACATAAAACATAACTCTAGACCATCACCACAGAGTACAACCATACTCTGTTGACTATCATTAACAACAGCCTTATTGAGAAAAACAAAATAGGAAAGATTACTTAAAATATGTATCCATTCCTCTGGAAACCTGAGTCTATTCCTGGATCATTCTTGGACATTTGAGCTAAGCCTCTGGCAGACTCACCTTCACTGAGTTACATTTTAATGGTATATTACCATTTATCTGGTGAAATGGTATATTACCACCCTTATCAAAAGTGACTATCAAAAACAAGCAACCATATTCTGTACTTGTATTTGCCAAAACAAAGCTTTTGAGCTTAGTCACTGCATCAGTGAGGGTAAATATAGCAACTTCTTTAAAATCCAGCACTGATAACAACATGCATTAGCACTGAGGAACTCATGCTTTCTCCTTTCTGATGAAAAAAAGTATTTAACTGACCACACCTTCCTCTGTTCCTTGTCTACCACTATACTCAGTCAAAACTCAAACTTAATGCAGCAATCATTTCAGCCTTGAAAGGACACACACAATCGTGTCCTTTTTCTTGGTTTTGATTTCTTACGTCTATCTATATCTTATTATTACTTCATTGTATGTTGCTTTTGTAAGCAGCCTTAAAATCCCTTGCAGAAAATGTCAGTGTATATGAAAATGTAAATAAATCAAAGAAAATTCTCATATAAAATTTTTTAAAATATCAAATATCTAATAAACCATACTAATCCTTTCTTCAATATTTTTATTCTTGTTCTCAATAAAGGAAATATAGAATACCAGTGCTTAAAAGTGAATTCTACTTGCTCTTAATTTATACATGATAAAACCCTACTAACCTATCACTAGATTACATCCCTTTTGGGAGAACCGAAAGGATCAAGAAAATTAGTCCACTAGAGGGCCCTCTTACTCAAACACCAAAGCAACAACATGTACCAGAATAAGGTTTAAAACTTCATTATAGTATCAGAATTATATCAGTATTAATATCAATTAAAATATCATAATTATTAGTATTAATGCCAATTATATTAGTATCAAATTACAGTATCAGAATCCTCATAATTCTCAGATTTAGCTATTTTTCCCAATACAAAATAAAGTTGCTTATTTTTTTTCAGTGTCTGGTCAATATAAAAGAAAGTAAAAGGAAAGATTCACTTGAAGTCAAATTGTGGTAATAATGAATATTCTCACACCATGACTAGAAGGAAGGAAATAAACTTTTAGTCCTAAATGTGTTTGCCTAGAAAACAAATTGAAGTTCTATATTCTTATTTACTACATCCAAAAATATTTCTCAATTTAATTTCATTACCATTTGTTAGTGTTTCTATAGAGGGACTAGATGGTCCTTGAAATGCTTTTAGAAATGGGTGGTCCATGGTGGTAACTGGAGAGTCTAAAAATTCAACCAAAGGTGCACCTGAGAACAAAATATATGGAGAATAAAAATTAAATCTCTATAAGAATACAAATAAGTTATTATTTCTAATGTGAAATAAATAAGGACTTCAGCAGAATCATTAGAAAAACCCTTTCTATAAAAAAGAAATTTTCACTTAGATTCTTTCTTTGCCACATAAAGCAAAGGCAAATGGGCAAAAGTATTTTTGCATTTCTCAGAGAACTTTTTCACAGAAAAAAAATATTATGAGGGCCGGCCCATGGCTCACTTGGGAGAGTGCGGTGCTGATAACACCAAGGCCATGGGTTCAGATCCCTATATAGGGATGGCCGGTTAGCTCGCTTCAGAGAGCGTGGCGCTGAAAACACCAAGTCAAGGGTTAAGATCCCCTTACCAGTCATCTTTAAAAAAAAAAAGAAAAAAAAATATTATGCACTAATGTAATTTTACGTTAGCACAGAAGTACGCAACTCTAATATAGTTACAAACACTATCAAAAGCAAGACATTAGAAATAAGGAACCTCTGGTTAAAGAAGTAGAATAAGGATATTTTCTCTCTTTACACCTTACTAGGAAACCATCTAAAAACAAAGTATGAAAAATAAAGAAGAAAGCTCCTTCTCCAGCAAAAGCGGGAAACATCCACAACTCCAAACCACAAACTACAAAAACCAACTGCTAAATACATCAACTCTTGGACCAAAAGGAAGGAAGCTGCAGAGAAAATTTATAACTGCTGTCTTCTTCCCAAACCAACCCCTCCCCCTTATCCCCTCCCCACACCATGGTTAGAGGGAAGGAAATGAACTTCTAGTCCTAAGTGGTTTAAAAGCTAGTCCTGCCTTATAATATAAAGTGTGCAACAATTGCTCAGTCTTTCTAATTCCTTTCCCCCATCCTATCCCCAGCTACTCTCTTATGTGGCATACGGGCAGACAAGGGAAGGGGCTCAGGTCCATTCAGGTCCTTGTGTTGTCCTCTGGCTGCTGCATGTGCTACTTATCTCAAATACTCAGTGCTGGAGTAATTTATAATTTGGTCTCAGCTTGATATGGGCTGGTAGCCTCATACTTGCTCTCACTAGAAGTATAGACCCTCTCAATGCTAGCCAGTTCCTCACCTGAATACCCCAGCTCAGGCGACCCACCATCAGCTCTACTCTGGAGCCACTGTGCCCCTTGCTATGACAGATGCCACGGCAGGCCCACTGCCTCACAGCTCACCTGCCTTCAAAGCACCCTCTGAAGGAATTATGGACTCTTTCCATATCAAAAAGGAACCAAATTCCAGCAAGAGGTCACCTCCTCTAGACTTCTACATGGCTAGTAGAGCAGAGGTCCCTCTGCCCCTGGGATCTCCCACAGCTGAAATCAGGCTAAAAACATCACATTTCCTCTTCTCACATTCACCTTTCTTCATCCCACCTTCCCTCGGCCAAAAGAAGAACGTTTTTCTTTATGCTGTGAAGATACTTAAGGGATACAATACTATTAAGTCACAAAAAGGCAAAGTATCAACTACCACCACTATTATTTAGCTTTGTTCTGGAAATACTAGCCATTTTGATTAATCAAGAGTAAGAAGAGTTGTAAATACTGGAAAGGAAGAAGCAAAAATAATATTTGCAAAATAAAATAAAAATTTATTAAAATTCTAAGATTAAGTAATAAGACTGGTAACAAAAGCAGAAAATATTTGCTTTTTTATAAACAAACAATAAACAGAAAATACAATGGAACAAAAAAATCCCATGTATGATCCCTATTAAAAAAAAAAGATTAAATACCTATAAATAAATTTAGTAAAAATTGTGCAGGACTTCTAGGAAGATAACTCAGAATTCCACTCACCTGCACAGAAGACAACAAATAAATGAAAAGACAGTATTTTAAAATATTTTAAAATATTGATATTTTAAAATATATAATTATTTCTATATTAATCTACACATTCAATGTGATCTCAATTAAAATAACAATGTTTTTGTAACTTCACAAAATAATGCTAAAGTTCTGGAAGAAATAAAATGCAAGAATAGGTCAGGAAAATTCTGAAGTAATAAAATGAAGTCATAAATATGAAAACAGTATGGCAATAATGAAACAGTATGGTAGCTGCATAAAAATGGACAATACTCAGGCAGAATATGGACCCAGAGCAATCTCTGGGTTGAGCCCAATCCTACTACTTACTAGCTGAACAACACAGAGCAAGCTATTTTACTTCTCTGGGTGAGTTTCCTCATCTGTAAAATGGAATAATAATCTAACTCGCAGAGCTGCTGTGAGGATAAAAGGAGGTAATAAATGTGAAGCAGTTGGAACAGTTTCTGGCAGTACAAAGCTATGATCAACATCATTATTTTTTGCCACTAGTAATTGGGTTTTCTGAAGCTGTTGCATGAGCCTCATACAGTCATGTACCCATGAAAACTGCAAAAAAATGTATTTATGGAATTTAACAAGCTAGTTGTAAAATTACCTTAAGAAGAAAATGCACAAAAATATCAAAACAATCTTGAAAAATGAACACCAACAAGAGGAATTTACCATATCACACACCAAAACACACCATGAAGCTATAATAATTAAAAACATTTAACACTGGCACAAGACAGACAAATAGGCCAATGGGCCAAAATAGAAAGTATGATAAAATACGATAAAGTTTGAAATTATCTGGGAAAAATGGTGTTTGGATAACTGGCCATCAATTTGAACAAAAACTGAAGTTAGACATACCTATCTCACATTCTCAGAAAAAAATAAACTCCAGTTACATGAAAAAGCTAAACATAAAAAAATTAAGTAATAAAATGAAGGGGAATATATTTATAAAATTGAAGTAGATAACACCAAGGCCAAGGGTTTGGATCCCCATACCAGCCAGCTGCCAGAAAAAAAATAAAATTGGAGTAGAGAAGGCCTGTCTCCAAAATTTAAAAACAGTAAAAAAAATATTTTTAAAGGTTAAAAGATAAGTGACAAACAAAGGATTGGTATACAGAATATACGTAAAGGTTTCCTATAAGTCAGTAAGAAAAGATAAAAACAGAAAAATGAGCAAAGAACATGAACAGGCAATTCACAGAAAGTGATATGGCCAATATATATGAACAGATCCTCATCTCACAAATAACCAGAAAAAGCAAACTGAAACAACAATAATAATTTCATACACTGGACTGGCAAAAAAATCAAGTTTAAAAATATCAATTATTAGCCTAAATGTGAGGAAATAGGTAAACCAAAACACTACCAGAGGAAGTAAAACCAAGAACAGCACTTTTGGAGGATGACTTGGCAGACAGTATCAAAATTTTACATGTGTACGCACTTGGACCCGACAATTGTACTTCTCTATATCTACTTTAGAGTCAAATTCATAGAAGGATACAGGAGGCCAGTTTAAGGATTTTCTTGGCAAGATTGTTTGTAATGGCAAACAAAGGTGGAAACCTAAATGCCATGAATAAGGAAAGGGTCAGATAAACTGACATGTCCATAGTGTAGAATACTGTGCAGCATTTAAAAAGAATGAGGTAGATTTGTGTGTCCTGACATAAGGGGTTTAAAATTTCTCTCAGTTAAAAAACAAAAGTATACCATAAAAATGTATATTAAAAAGAAAAATTAACTGATGACAGCAAATTATCCTCTGGGAAAGAATCTGGGGTAAAAAGAAGTGTGCAAGGGGGCTTTGCACTTCACTTCTGTTGTTTAAATCTTGTAAAAAAAAAATAAACATTTATATTCATGTAATTTTTTAATAAAAAAATAAAATACATGCCTGTTGTAAAAATAAAAAAAAATACCCACCACAGTTGTGTTTAAAGTAGACAGAGAACACATTTCGTTCCTTAATCTCATTTAACTCTCAGGATACAGCTACCTTCAGTAGTTTGGGAAATATGTTATTAGGCTTTTCCATATATTATTTAAAACTTATATGTAGGCAAGAAGATATATTTGTGTGCATACATGTACAAACATACTTTAATATAGCTGTGATTAAATGTATACACATGTATATGCATATACACTCACGAACATATGCCTCAATGTTTCCAACATGAGATGGTTACAATAACAAAAACTGCACACAATAGCCTAACAGGTAAACTGTATCATATCAAATAAAAGAAATATTATTCTGCTATTACAAACAATGAAGATGTTGATTGGGATTTGGGTACTTGTACTGGGGTAGGAGTGATCTTTTTCCTTGTATTTTGTAAATTTTCTATAATGACAATATATTGTATAGTAGCAATAAAATCTTTTTTAAAAAAAAAATAAAATGAGAGAATATTTTCTGAACAAACATGATGAATATAAAGTACTAAACAAATATAAAGCTTCCTGTTGTTAGCACACATAAAAACAATAAAACAAGCTCACATTTCATATAACACCACTTACCGATCCCACTGTCATCTAATCGCAGGTAGCCTTCTGCCAGTGAGCTGAAGCCAGTTAATCCTCCCATTGCTGCATAAGGAACATCCTGTCCCACTGGTTTTCCCTGAGCCAATCTTTCTTGCTTAGTTTCCACTACTGTGTCATGGGTATATGCAGGCTGACCACAAGCACAACTGAAGGGGCTATGGAATCCTGAACACTTGGAACCTGAATCAAGATGTAAAGGGAATTAATTTTGTTTTAATATACATACTAAGCTGTCTACTCTAAAGACACTTAACTTGACCAATGCCAGTTGAACCTAGATCCTCTGGCCCCTGTAACTCTTGCCTCCAATCCCTGAACTCCCTCCCAACCACTTCTACTTCTGAAAGATGCTAAAGCTAAGAAGGAATGTAGCAGAAAACAAAACAAAACAAAAATGGAAAAACCAACTAGGACTAAACAAACTTGGTTTAAACCCTGGAGAGCTAAAAAAAACACAAGCCCTCTCCTCAAAAACTGAGTTAAAAGCAGGTGTGGTGGGGACAGCGCAGTGGCCTGGACCAGGTAAAAAGATAAGATGAAAACCTCCCTACAGATCAACTCCCCATAAAAGCCATATTGGAAGGCCAACCCATAGACACAGAAAGGATGCAATGAATATTATTTGGCAATGAAAATGGAAAAAGGACTTAATCAAGGGGTCTTCAAAAAGCTCATGAATGGGGGATGGTCAGTTAGTTCAGTTGGTTAGAACATGGTGCTGATAACACCAAGGTCCAGTGTTCCATCCCTGTTCTGTCCAGCCACAAAAAAAACAAACAAAAAAAAAAAACTCATGGAAAGATTCATATGATCCTTTTACTTTTCCACAAACTTTCTGAAGTACCGTCATACATGCTACGACACGGATGAATCATAAAAACAATATGCTAAGTGAAAGAAGCCAGTCACAAAAGACTACAATATTCCATGATTCTGTTTATATGAAATGTTCAGAATAGGCAAAACCACAGAGACAGAAAGTAGATTATTGGTTGCTTAGGGCTGGGGGAGGGAGGAATAAGAATTTACTCCTGAAGAATATGGAGCTTCTTTTTGGGGTGACAAAAATGTTCTAAAATTTATTGTCCTGATGGTTGCACAACACTCACTCTGACAAATATATTAAAAACATCAGGGGCCGGCCCGGTGGCACACTGCTACAGTGTGCTGCCTGGCGGCACTCCCGCCAAGGGTTTGGATCCCACATACAGACCGGTTCCCGCTCACTGGCTGAGCAAGGTGCGGGCGCGACACCGAGGGTTGCGATCCCGTTGCCGGTCCGGTCCGGTATGGGCGCAACACTGAGGGTTGCGATCCGTTGCCGGACACAAAAAAAGACAAAAAAAGGGAAAAAAAAAAAAATAAAAATATATACTTTCAATAGGTGAATTGTATGGTATGTGAATTATACCATAATAAAGCTGTTATATAAAAAAAAACAAGCCATATTGCAATGGAGGACAGAATACCATGGATATGGGAACCAAGGCACATAAGTAAATAAGTTTTATCCAACTACTTCTATACTTAGCCAATGAAACACATTTATTCCTGCCACTGTCATTAAATATGTTTTACTACATATTTCATCATAAGATTTCAGTTCAGGTCTGACCAGTTAGCTCAGCTGGTTAGAGCATGGTGCTGATAACACCAAGGTCCAGGGTTCTATCCCTGTACTGGCCAGCTGCCAAAAAAAAAAAAAAAATACAAAAACAACTGGAATAACTCTCTCCTGAAGGAAACTACTGGACTAATACCCCACCTACTTTAAAGAGTTCTTGAAAGAATGATCAAATGAAAGGGCACACGGGGTGGAGGTTGCAATTTGGGTACAGGTATTGAGGTAAGGGTACTATCACATACAAAGCATTAAAATTATGTTATAGTTTGCTTCTCCCATCAGCCTACATTTTAGGCAATAAAATCATAATCTATCAGCAAATTATAAAAATTTTTTGATTTAGAAAATTCTTTTAAAAAATCTGTAAATAGAATTTAGTTGATTAAACTCCCACTCTTCAAAAATTTGAATCAGATCACACCTAGTGATTCTTTAAAATCTATTACTTAAATTATTTGAATTATACGAGATTAGGGTTTATGATTGCCAAACATCTCAATAACTATGAGTTTTTCCACAAAAATCGAATTTTAGTGTTATCCATTGAACTTTTTAGTTGTTTAATACTGACTCTACGAATGAATAAAACTGGTACAAAGACACATTAAATATTCAATGAAGAAACAAACATTCTGTGTTTGTGCATTTATAATAACGTAACTCACATGCGTTGCACAAAAAGCCAGGAGCAGCACTGTGCTGATCAGCAAAGTGTTTGCACCTGCAGCGAATGGGTTGGGTACCATTCAAAGGCACATAATGGTAAGCCTTGCAGAGGCAGCCAGTCACTCGGCAAGGCAGATCAATGGGATGCTGCTGTGGAATCGTTTCAAAGTCAGTTTTATGTTGTTTATACCTAAAAAAGAAAAGAAAGGAAGAAAAAAACAGTGCAAGCATTGCCAAAAATTACGATTTTTATCCTGTTAAATGCAAATAGGATTCTTTTCCATTTTTGTTGCTTTGCTGTTCTAGTTAGTAAGGTGAAAATAAGTCCCCCTACACGCAGTACAACTTTCAACTGTGTTGCTTTGGTCAGAAGAAATGTTCACTCTTTCAGATTTTTACGCTGGCTGGTACAGAGTTCCAAACCCGTGACCTCAGTGTTATAAGCCTGCACTCTAACCAACTGAGCTTACTAGCCAGCCCGTAACTCTTTCAAATTTTTATTTTTAGTTACCTAAGAAGTTTCACAGCAATAGAAAGAAATATCATATACTTCTCTTAAAATACTTACCTCTCCAGATTCTTTAATATATAAGTGCAACCTAAGAGTATGAAAAAATTTCTTTATAAAAATTATTTTTATCAAAGTGCATTACTTATTTTCACAGGTTTGTTAGTTTAAACTGAAATAAGTTCAATAAACATGCATACACAAACACACACACACAAGGGAATGAGTAAGTAAATTACTAGACAATAGTTTTCAAACACTTTAGTAGTGAAACCCTTTCTTCAAATAATATCTTTTACGGAACCATCATCTATTAAATAGATTGAAACAGAATTGGTTAAAGCACGGAGAAGAGATGGAATTGGAGTTTCCCCTTCCCCTACCTGCCCTTCCACCTGGTACGCCCCTGCGGCTCCCTCAGCTCTGGGGAACACACAATAAACACCACTGAACTAGCTGGAATATCAAGCAGGTATTAAAAGTCTCGTTTGTGATTACCACATAACCATGTAGAAACATATTTCTGTGATTCTGTCATGAAAAAATGACTCAAAATTTTATACTCACACATAATTAACAACTAAATGAACTACGTAAAGAAAAATTATACAGGGCCGGCCCATGGCTCACTCAGGAGAGTGTGGTGCTGATAACACCAAGGCCCCAGGTTCGGATCCCATATGGGGATGGACAGTTGGCTCACTGGGTGAGCATGGTGCTGACAACACCAAGTCAAGGGTTAAGATCCCCTTACCGGTCATCTTTTAAAAAAAAAAAAAGAAAAAGAAAAATTATACAGATATAGTAAAAGGTATTAATGACAGCTAGCTTTGGGTGGTGTGTCTTCTATTTTCTATATACTCCCCATTTTCACTTTTATAATGGGAAAAATATAGCTTAAACAGAGATCTCACTGAGTGACCAGCACTAAAGTATAACTTCTCTGCTGAAGTTCAGTTGGGTTTTTGAGTATCAATTCCATGTTGCATAAATTATAGAGAAGAAACGGGCACTAAATTTGTACAAGAATAAACTATAAAACATCATATATTGGGCCGGCCCGGTGGCGCACTGGAGAGTGCGCCGCTTGGGAGCACGGCGGCGCTCCTGCCGAGGGTTCGGATCCCATGTGGAGACCGGTTCCCACTCACTGGCTGAGCGCGGTGCGGGTGCAACACCGAGGGTTGCGATCCCGCTGCCGGTCCCCAGTACGGGCGCGACACCGAGGGTTGCGATCCCGCTGCCGGTCCCCAGTACGGGCGCGACACCGAGGGTTGCGATCCCGCTGCCGGTCCCCAGTACGGGCGCGACACCGAGGGTTGCGATCCCGCTGCCGGTCCCCAGTACGGGCGCGACACCGAGGGTTGCGATCCCGCTGCCGGTCCCCAGTACGGGCGCGACACCGAGGGTTGCGATCCCGTTACCAGTCAGTAAAAAAGACAAAAAGGAAAAAAAAATCATATATTTACCAAACCCATCTTCAATCCTGAAAGATACCAACACACTGCTCTTCCTCCATTCCTCCACAGAGTTTTTACTGGGGGTTGCTAAGTTTGAAGTCACTCTATACAAAATATTACTCGTCCTAGCAACTGCCCAACAACCCTCAGCAAACTGCAACTCTGTAAATAGCAACCATCCAAAGAACCTCTCATGAGAGAGCCCCAGAAACTGCTCTCAGAACGGTGTAGTTCCTTTTGAATGGTTCCCTTAGACCAGAAACTTTAAGTCGTTGCCTGAAAATACATAATAGGTTCGGTGATTTCTCTGTGAAACAGCTTGGTCATTTTGACCTTTACAACTGTGAGACAGTGGTAACGTTTAAAGCAGAGAATGTACACAGCAAATTGCAAACCTCAAGTAGAGGCAACACACACCAGTGACTGGAGCCTCACATATTTCCTCTCCTGTACCTGCTTTTGTTGGAATATGACCATGTGTACTAAAAAGCAGTGTGCTTGCATTTTTGTTTGATTAAAGAAAGGTAATTGACACAGCAGTTCCTTAAGGTATAAAAGGCAATTAGTAAATCTGAGGAGAAATGCTTCTGTTTGCAAATAGGTAGAATGATCTGTGTGGGTCAAGTCAATCCACTGTAAGAGTACTTCTGCGGTCTGATTATCCATCCTTTACCTTGTCCTATGGGAGCAGATATAGACTCTGCTCCCCACCCAAACTGAAAGACCCCTTGCAAAGCCACAGGGGCACCAATATCTTTTAAACTGGTGGCAAAAAAGAGTTGCTTAAGGTGATAGATTCCATGTTGAGTTCTAATAGGACATGAGAGTAATTTTTTAATTACAGCTTAAAAAAACCTTTGGACAGTTTCTACTGTACTATATAAAGGCCTGTTTTAAAATGTTTCACAGTCATCGCAGTGTTATGTACAGAAGAAAGAAAGATATGCTTTATTTTAGTTTCTTATTTTCTAACCATCAGAAAACAGCAATAAAATATCTTACCTATGCGTACAAAAACATAGCGTCTCTGGGCCAACAAGTTTACAATCCATTCCAGTTGGTGACTGCCAGCTCACATATAATCTGTTCTGTAAACGCATAGGTAAAACTTTCCTTTTGTATTCTTCATATTCTTCAGGAGTAAAAAGTTTCCCTCCATCATCCTCACCAACAATTCTACAACAAAAAATACTTCTCTTAAGCCTTGAATATTTATTTTCCAGTTAAAAATACAAAACTCGGGGCCAGCCCGGTGGCGCACTCGGTAGAGTGCGGCACTTGGGAGCGCGGCAGCACTCCCGCCGAGGGTTCGGATCCCATATAGAGACTGGTCCGCTCACTGGTTGAGCGCCATACGGGCACGACACCGAGGGTTGCGATCCCATTACCAGTCACGAAAAAAGACAAAAAGGAAAAATAAATAAAAATAAATAAAAATAAAAATACAAAACTCAAAAATTAAACTACAGTTGCATAGTCAAAGGAAAGGTTGCTTCAACTTTGATTTTTTACTTTAGGCAGATGTTAATAGCCAAATTACACACAACAGTAATAAAACTTTTGCTTGTGATGGAATTCAGGACATGCCACCCCAAAATATGGTACCTTGGCATTTGAGAAAACAACAAAAGTAGTACAGCCTCTCTCACCTTCCCCTCACCCTTCTTCCCTACCGCAGGTGCCCTCCCTATACTCAGAGGAAAGGAACATCCTTATCTCTGAAGATGCAAGGACACAGAGAAGAATCTTACAAACAGCACTTGCTAAGTTCCTCCCAGTTTTTACCATTAGATCATACCCTTCTGTCCTCCAATCATATTTTTCTACAACTTCCATCCTTTATCAAACCTAAGCATAAAAATACATAGGATTCCCTGTTTCTTAGGGTCTTCATTTTCTGAAGGCTCCCATGACACGTAAAGCTTATATTAAATGAATTTATATGCTTTTTCTCTTATTAATCTGTCTTTTATTACAGGTACACCAGTCATAAACCTACCACAGTCACAAAGGAAAGAAATCTTTTCTCCCCTTCATGCCACTACATGTGGCGCACTTGGGAGGGTGCAGCGCTGGGAGTGCGGTAGCGCTCCCGCCACGGGTTCGGATCCTACATAGGGATGACTGGTGCGCTCACAGCGCTCACTGGCTGAGCGCAGTGTGGCCGGTCTCAAAAAGGACAAAAAAAAAAAAAAGAAAAACAATGAATTCATAACATCTGACTTTACTGATTGAAGTTTAGCAATGGAGGATTACTACAGAGCCTAAACTAAAAATTCTAACATTTTCATCCTTCAAAAATAATAGCAAAAAAATTAATAAATAAAGGAAAAGAAAGGGAAAGTACAAAAAAAATTCAATGCAGAAGCCAACATGATTAATTCTCATACCTGATCCAAAACCCTGCCCAGGAGTTTAAACTAATGTGGAGCCTAAAAACATGCCTGGATAATGTAAGCTTTATGTGTCATGGAAGCCTTCAGAAAATGAAGACCCTAACAGGGAATCCTGTCTACTTTTATCCTTAGGTTTTAAGAAAAGTGGAAGTTGTAGAGCAATATGACTGGAGGACAAAAGTGTATGAACTAATGTTAAAAACTGGGAGGAATTTAGAAAGCTCAAACCCATATCTGTGTATTGGGTAATCAGGTGTATCACTGTTTAATTTCAGAGGATCCCAAAATTTTATGGTAAAAATTAAGCCCCCACTATTTCTATGAGAAGAATTGGTCTCCCTAGAGGAAAACAAAGCAAAATTAAAAGTTCAAAATTGAAGAAATTTCTTCTTGAAAATACCTCCTTTTAAAGGTCATGAAAAGTGTTGTTTGTAGAATGCTACATGATAATCTCTTTTATAGATTAAAAGGAGTGTTCCAGGTTATTTATGCTTGCAAAAATAATTTCCCAACCACAACATTTTCCCGACTAGGCAAGAGTCAGCTGGAGGCCCACAATTCACATATCTAAGTGATCAGTCAGTAGAAGGGTTCATCAACTCGCTCCCGGGAAAAGCCCTGGAAAACTGGAAGCTAAAGGAGCTTTGGGTGAGGGCTGGGTGGTAGCTGTTCCGGCGAGGCCTCCAGTGTTATTACCTGGACCCACTGGACCCACCTGAACTGGGCACGGGAATGACCCATCAAGCTCCTCACCCTCACTTTTTCTGCTCAGAATTTCCAGGCAGTTACGGGCGTAACCAAAACTACCACTCCAGCGGGACAGTTAGAGGAAGAGCAATCAGCTCTCTGGGTGATTTGGAGCGACCACCTTTAAGTAGAGCAGTCTCTCTCGCTCAGGGTTCTCAGGCCGGGCTGTGATTGTCTCACTTCTCATCTGTACACACACAGCCCCCCAGCCTCAATTCCGCATCCTCCTGCCGGTCCCTCTCCAGTAACTCCCATTCGTCCGTTTTCCAACTGTTAAATGTTTCTTAAAAGCCCGAAAAAGAAGAACTTGTCACTGCAGGTGCATCAGCCTTGTCAGAGCCGAGGGCAATAAATCACGTCCTCAAGCCAAAGGAGCGGGTGCGTTACCTGTTTCAGGAGAGGACTTTCTTCAGAACCATCGAAACTACCCCAGTCAGAGTCTTTCTCCTAAAGCCAGCACCTCGAGGTTGCAAGCCCATTTAGAAATTCACGACTCATTCTATTACTGGATTAACGTGCAAACTTGATGTCTGCTAACTTTTATAGGCCCCGCGTTCACGATGTGTAATTCTTCAAGGGCCATCTAGAAAAATCAATTGGACCTTTGCATAAATCTGGAGTTGATCCTTCTTGGAAAGGAACGGAGGACCTCTTAAATGGAAGAGACTTGTCACTGAACAGAACTGCATGTCACTACGATATATAATCACAGAACGACAAAACTTGAAATTAACCCAGGCCTCCCCAACGGCCCGGGAACGGATTCCAGGAGCCCCAGCGCTCATGCGCCGGGCCCCCGCCCGCGCCACCAGCCCTCGTCCGGCGAGGGGGACCAGGCCAGCCCCGGGATTCTTCGGCCCCACGGAGCGGCGCGACGCAGACCCGAAGCCGCCGCCTCACCTCCGATACTCCAGGTAATCGTCCACGGCCGCCGCGCCGCCGGGAGGCAACGTCAGCCGCTCCATGGCCGGCAGGAAAGCAAAAGGTGGCGGCCCGTGGCCCCCGAGCCCGTCCCGCTCGCGAGCCCAAGGCGGAGGAGCCACAACCA